CCTATACAGTATACACCTCCAGTATTCGACTGGGTATAGATACAATTTAACTCCTTTTTCCTAAATGGCTCTAGATGTTGTGTACGTGGGAGTGATCTAGAAAGCAAACAGGTCTATGGGCAATGCCAGACTCTCCGGAAAGGAGATCTCTGGCGAAGTAATAATTGATCCTGTTGGAAAGATTATTGCATCCCACTTCATCAGCTAGATAAAGCGGTGTCAGTCACTTCATGGCATAAATATGCATGCTTGCCAAAGTAAGTCTGCATATTTATGAAACCAGCTGACAGGTTCTCTTGGCAATTGATCAACAGAAGCAAATTTGTTACAAACCTGGACCAAACTTAAATTATTATAAACAACTGCATAACTATAGGTTACTTTTCATGAAAAGTGCATAGCAAAATATAAAATAATGGAAATATAGACAGACAACTGAGGTTATATGGAAATCTTGACTTTTCCTGCGAAAGCTAGGTTTGACTCCTTCCTCTACAAAAACTTATTGGTCCTGTAATGCAATGACCAGTCTATTTGTCCCTTTTGGGGAAAGGGGGATGGTGCCCAGCTCAGCTTTACAGGAAAGGTAAGATTTGGATACAACTTTTTTTCTACATACTAATGAATCTCATGTTATTTTAAACAATGGCAGCCTCCAATTATTTGTTTATTATATGTCCAATTTTCATTGTCCTGAATTGCAGCAAATAAAATTTACAGCCACAAATAAAGCATAGTATATCCATTTTGAGATTTTTTTTTATGTTTAAGTAAAAAAAAAAAAATGTGACTGTTAAGGTGCACAGCTCTGATAACATAGAATATATACAGTTGTGTTCAAAATAATAGCAGTCAGACATCACTAACCTGATCACTGTTTTTGGTAGAAATTATATTTCTACATGGCAAATAATTTACTAGCAGGTGTAGTAGAGTATTAGAAATCCAACAGACCCAACAGTCATGACATGCATGCTGCTGATTCTATGTAATTGAATCACTAATTGAAAGGGGCATGTTCAAAATAATAGCAGTGTGGAGTTCTATTAGTGAGGTCATTCATTCTTTCAAAAACAGGTGGCAATTATTGCCCTTATTTAAGGAAGGAAGGCAGCAAATGTTGTACATGCTGGTTACAGTGCATTTCTCTCAAATTCTGAGGAAAATGGGTCGTTCCAGACATTGTTCAGAAGAGCAGCATACCTTGATTAAAAAGTTGATTGGAGAGGGGAAAACATAAAGAAGTGCAGAAAATGATAGCCTGCTCAGCTAAAATGATCGCAAATGCTTTAAAATGGCAACCAAAACCTGAAAGATGTGGAAGAAAGTGAAAAACTACCATTTGAATGGATAGAAGAATAGCCAAAATGGCAAGGACTCAGCCAACAATCAGCTCCAGGAAGATCAAAGAAGGTGTAAAGTTACCTGTGACTACTGTTACAATTAGAAGACGCCTATGTGAAGCCAAGCTATCTGCAAGAAGCCCCCGCAAAGTCCCACTGTTGAAAAAAAGACATGTGCTGAAGAGGTTACAATTTGCCAAAGAGCACATTGACTGGCCTAAAGAGAAATGGCGCAACATTTTGTGGACTGATGAAAGTAAGATTGTTCTTTTTGGGTCTAGTGGCCGGAGACAGTTTGTCAGACGACCCCCAAACACTGAATTCAAGCCACAGTACACTGTGAAGACAGTGAAGCATGGTTGCGCAAGCATCATGATATGGGGATGTTTCTCATACTACGGTGTTGGGCCTATTTATCGCATACCAGGGATCATGGATCACTTTGAATACATCAGAATACTTGAAGAGGTCATGCTGTCTTATGCTGAAGAGGAAATGCCCTTGAAATGGGTGTTCCAACAAGACAATGACCCCAAACACACCAGTAAACGTGCAACATCTTGGTTCCAGACCAACAAGATTGACGATATGGAGTGGCCAGCCCAATCCCCGGATCTTAATCCAATAAAAAAACTTGTGGGGTGACATCAAAAATGCAGTTTCTGAGACAAAACCAAGAAATAGAGGAGAACTGTGGAATGTAGTCCAATCATCCTGGGCTGGAATACCTGTTCACAGGTGCCAGAAGTTGGTTGACTCCATGCAACACAGATGTACAGCAGTTCTCAGAAACAGTGCTTATACAACGAAATATTCATTAAGTGATTCAAAGGAAAGCAAAATCTTCAAACATTTTTCAGTTTATATAGGAATATTTGAGTTTGTAAAGAAGAATACAAACACTGCTATTTTTTTTTTAACAGTCTAATATTCACTTTTCTTCAGTTTTGTTAGAGTAACAACACAAATTTGATATTTTTTCCTTCATGTTTTTGATTTGGAATAGAATGTGTAGTGTTCCCAATGCAAATAAAAGCTATTAGAAGGATTATGAGCTTTATTCACTTTTTGTAACACACTGCTATTATTTTGAACACAACTGTATACACACACACACACACACACACACTAGTATATTGTATCACAAAAGGACAACAATGTGCTTCTTTGCTATAAAAAAAAAATAAACCGTAAAAATGCCTATTTCTTTTGTATGATTGTACTCACTTTATAGTTCATTGATTTATTGTCGTAAACATTGTGGCCCCATAAAATAGCTTAGAGCACCAGTGGTTGTGCTCCAGTAATCAACGGAATCCAGGTGCTGACATCTATAATGTTCATCCAGGTCCACTGTATGATGTAAGATGCAAAGACGCCGCACTCCTAACAGCCCATATACAAAGAGGGATAGAAAGCAGCCTCAACCTAGGCTCCTCCAAAGCCACACCCCCGAAGCGTTTCACCCCACCCACAGGGCTTACTCATAGAGAAAAATGTAAACAATGCTTAATGTAATCTACATATTAGAAAGGAAATAAGATTTAATCTTTTGAAAAACGCATTAGCTATAAATCAAATATGTTTACAAAAAGGTTTTATTTTTTCCTTAAAAACCTAAGTTTATGCTGTTTTTTTTTTTTTTTTTTTTTTTTTTTCCAGAATGGACAGTACTTACATTGAAACCTTGTGCTGGTGGCTGCTGTCTTCAGATAAATCTTCAGTCTTCTGTCCCCCTGCACACCCACACAGTGGTCATTTTTTGGTGTTGCAGAGGTGAATGGGGAGGCCAACCTTTCATTCACTCACCCATCCTCCATTCATAGAGCTTTTTTCATTGCTGGAAGCTATAATACAGCTTCTCTGCAGAGGGAAGTATAGTGGATAGGGCAGACATGGTCGGAACACTTGACGAGTGGGTGCATATGACAAGTCCAGCAGCTCATGTTTACTTGGCACCATGTTATATATTACACCGGGTAGGACTACTGTCCTTTTAAACAAATTCCTTACGGGCTTCCATAAGCTTCAGCACTGATTGTTGAAAGCCTGCTGAAACCTGTTAACTTGTTTAGCCACTTGAGGTCTGGAAGGTTTTACCACCATCAAGACAAGACCATTTTTTGCTATTCGGCACCGCACTACTTTAACTGGTAATTGCGCAATTGTGCAACACTGTAAGCAAATAAAATTTTATATAATTTTTTTCACACAAATAAAACTTTATTTTGGTAGCATTTGATCGCTACAGATTTTTTTTTTTTTTCTCTTTTCTCTTTTTTTAATAATGAATGTAAATATTGAAAAAATATCTTCTGTTTTAAAAACATATCCAATAGAAAAAAAAAAAAATTTCTCCATGCATTTAGGCTAAAATGCATTCTGCTACATGTCTTTGGTAAAAAAAAAATCCCAATATGTGCATGTTAATTGCTTTGTGTGAAAGTTATAGCATCTACAAACTCTGGGATACATAACTGAAAATTAATCAATTCTGATGTACTGACAGCTGATCTTATTTCTTGAGGCCCTTAAAATGCCAGGACAGTACAAATTTCCCCCAAAGGGCCCCTTTTTGGAAAGTAGAGTCTGAGATATTTAGTAAGAGGCATGGCAAGTTTTTTGAAGTTGTAATTTTTTTGTCACACTTTTTTGAAATATGAAGAAATTACATTTTTTTTTTTACAATTTGTTTTCACAATCCACATGCGCATCCATTTTTAGAGAAGAGGCAAGCTCTGCTGCAAGTGTAAACCCAACCTAAAGCATCAATAAATGCCTGTTTGGTTAAAGTCAGCACTTCTATTTAGATGTGTTTAGCATTGCCACTTACCTTTGCCCACAATACATTTACTGCAGGCGGGTGGAACAGGCAGGTTCACAATGTCAACAAAACTGTTATGAATGAATGTCATTCATAACAACTGTGCTTTCTATACAGTAATGTTGATTGGCCCACAGCTATCACTTTATACCTGGGCCAATCACAGCATCCTGTACCATTTGATTAGCTGTAGCCAATCACAGATCACTACTAATCACAGCTGTTATGGATTCAACCTATTTGTGACAGTTCAAACATTGCTGTTACAGTTACCATCATAAAATAAAGTATAAAAAAAAAAATCCCTGATCACCCCCCAGAGGGACTCAGCACCAGCTTTATCAGAGAGGAGCGATAGCTCAGAACGGGTTCTCCATAGTAAGCCTATGGGTGACCCAGGCTCCGCAGCAGTTACTTGCGATCTCTCCTCTACACTGAAGCCATCGCTGGATAAATCATATGACTGGACCAGAGTGACTTCAGAATAGGTAAGTATAGACATCTTTCCTTTTACAGGGTAGACAGAATAGGCCTAGGGTGGGAGTGGGAGTAGATTTAGGCTTAGTTAGGTTTTGACTGGAATTACACTTTAGCCTTGAGCTTTTCCCTGAAATTACTTTAGTGACTGCTGTTAAAAAAAAAAAAAAATAATACCATATTTTCCGGCGTATAAGACGACTGGGCGTATAAGACGACCCCCCTACTTTTCCTGTTAAAATATAGGGTTTGGGCTATACTCGCCGTATATAAGACTACCCCTCTTCCAACGCACACCAAATAAAAATTAAAAAACATCAGATTTGATTTCAATATGGTATGGTATTTCAGTATGGTATTCCTCCCACTGACACCAATGATGGGGCACGATTCCTCCCACTGACACCAATGATGGGGCACTATTCCTCCCACTGACACCAATGATGGGACACTATTCCTCCCACTGACACCAATGATGGTGCCTCATCATTAGTATCAGTGTGTGAGGAACAGTGTCCCATCAGTGTCAGTGGGAGGAATAGTACTCCATCAGTGTCAGTGGGAGAAATAGTGCCCCATCATTGGTGTCAGTGGGAGGAATAGTGCCCCATCATTGGTGTCAGAGCAAGGAAATCGTGCCCCGTCATTGGTGTCAGTGGGAGGAATAGCACCCCATCATTGGTGTCAGTGGGAGGAATAGCACCCCATCATTGGTGTCAGTGGGAGGAATAGCACCCCATCATTGGTGTCAGTGGGAGGAATAGTGCCCCATCATTGGTAACAGTGGGGGGGAATCGTGCCCCATCTTTGGTGTCAGTGGGAGGAATCGTGCCCCATCATTGGTGTCAGTGGGAGGAATAGTACCCCATCATTGGTGTCAGTGGGGGAAGGAATAGTGTTCCATCATTGGTGTCAGTGGGGGAAGGAATAGTGTTCCATCATTGGTGTCAGTGGGGGGTGGAATAGTGCCCCATCGTTGGTGTCAGTGGGGGGGGGAAGAATAGTTCCCCATCGTTGGTGTCAGTGGGGGGGGGGGGGGAATAGTGACCCATCGTTGGTGTCAGTGGGAGGAATAATGCCCCCATCATAAGTATCAGTGACACCAATGATGGGGCACTATTCCTCCCACTGACACCAATGACACTTGCGGACCCCTGTTCCAGCATGGTGCTGCTGCAGCCAGCATACGTGGTTGCAGCAGCAGCACCATCTGCATGGCACACTAACCGGCCGCTCCCTCAATCGATTTTCACGGGGCCTCTCGGCTCCGCCTCCTCGCCGGTGATTGGCCGCCTGTGTGCCTTTCCTGAGCTACAGTTCTGGCGCCCAATCACCGGTGAGGAGGCGGAGCCGAGCGGCCAAACTGAATGAAGGAGCAGCTGCGCTTCCTGGACTGGATCGTCGTGGGACTGGAACCGGAGCCAGGTAAGAAACAGCAGCCTCCTGCCCACCCCTGTACTTAGTGTCCCTTCCGTTGGAGGGGGGGTGTGGCAGTGGCACCGCGCCTCCCCTATAAAAAGTGCCACCCTGACACCGGCTCGGAAGTTTCAGCACGCCGTATACCGGTGTATAAAATGACCCACGACTTTTGAGAAGATTATTATGGGTTAAAAAGTCGTCTTATACGCCGGAAAATACGGTATAACTAAAAGAAAAACTTTGTTTTAGGTTTGGATAGAGTGGAGAAGGATTAGAACACCTATCAGGTTATTACTGCTGTCTGTGCCCCCCATCAGGAAGATTCACCCTCTTTTTGTCCCATTTACCATTATCACTGAAAATGAAAGAAAAGTGCAAATTTTCAGCTGTCACTAGAACAGGAATACTGTAGAATGGAAATTTTTCAATGGGGACACTAGTTCTTGTGATCCTGGTGACAACCAGCAATTCCACCACTTTGGAGGGTTTTCCTCTGGCTTCTTGTTTTGGCTATATGAAGGACAATTTCCCCAATAGGACAAATATGGCAAAAAAAAAAACTATCCGGGCTTATAATTCTCCCTTACTCTATCCAAAACAAGAAAAAAATGTTTTTAGTTCTACTTTAACGTAAAATAGGAATCCAGAGTCAGTTCCCAAAAATGCACAAGTCATCATACTCCCCTATTTTGTTACATTCAATAATGCGTATTATCTCATTAACATTTGTAAACATATCACATAACACATTAATATAAAGGTATATGTTTGAATGGGGAATATCATACTGGACAAATCAAGGACATACATGACTAAGCTAGCACATACAAAAAGGAGAAAAAGCAGTCTCCTACCTCCTGGGTGACAGACCCATCTGAAATACTCTGTTTGGTATCCCTGGAGATGAAATTTTATGCTGAACAATAATCTACCAATTTCCAGAATGCAACTAGTACATAGTAAAAGATATTAATATTAGTATAAAAATGTTTTGTAAGTGAGGGCCATGATACAGTCATAAACATGGTGACCTCCCAGCCACCACCCCTTAAACTGGGTAATTGATACCACAGAAAAAGGAAATATCAAGACCTTCTGGAAGCACTCGATCAACATCAGCCAAGGAACACCTAAACTGGACTTGAGAGAGCCACCGTTTTTGCTTGATCAATTGGACTCTGGCTAAAACCAAGGACTCTGCAAGTATTCTTCATTTTCAACTCCTCTTTAATTCTCTGTTGCTTTATAGTCTCTTTTTAACACCCTTTTTTTGTAAATATTTTATTTGCATCATTTTGACCTTTTCATTATTAAAACCTATTTTGAAAAAGAGTTAAAACTCTCGCTAAGGCTATTAATGCAAACTAAAAGAATCTAGGTCTCTTGAAGAGTGCTACTGTATTATAAATCTCTGAACATACCTGTCTGTGGTGATAGTGGGTGGTGCAGACATTTATTCAAAAAAATCATAGTCGTTATTGCTAAGATTATGAGTTTCCTCCTTCTCAGTCAAAAGGTGGTGGTGGTAGCTTAAAGAGCCAATTGCTTAGTAACTTAACCAAGTGACAATCGCTCTCAGGCTGTGGCACCCAGATTGTGGTGCTGCGAGTTGGAAAATCTTTGTGCAGGGTGCAGCTGAGAGTGGCATTGTTACAAGAGTGACAGCGAGGCGTGAGCGTGCCCCGTCCTTTGTCATGAGTTGGTGAGAAGAGCAGGGGTTGGGCTCCGCGTTCGTCACACTCTTTCCTGCTCTGTCCAAAACTAGAGAAAAAATTTGTCTGGAGTTGGTTTCTGAGTCTGCACAAAATATACACCACTACCTTCATTCTACCGGTTAAACAGCTTTCAGTTTTGAATTTGATCCAAAAATAATTGTGGGAAGAAATTATAAGTTGTGATTTAATGCCACTGAATAGGATCATGCCATGCATACAGAACAAATTGTTCAGGATTCTGGCAGATCCCATTAATGCAAATGTGACAACTTTGTATTTTGCAATCTGTAGGTATATGTATTTTCAAATTACAGAGCAGAATGTTTGCGAACGTGTGAGAAAATACCCTGACTATAGCAAAGGACTTAAACACATTTGTATCTGGTTCTAGAAATTGCACAACCAGATGCATTAATCCCAAGCACATTTCTTTGGAATAAACTGTATGACAAGTTTGTTAAATTAGAATTTAAAAAAATTATATAATTCAGGGCACTGGTGTGCAGTGACTCAAAATGGCCATGTGCTGACATCCGCCTGTTATTAGCCTCCTGGAGGGTTCGCTACCAGATCCATTGCCCAGCCACAGAATCTCTGGACCTCTGGGCACCTCATGGGGAAGTGCACAACGTCTACCCAGGCGTCTAGCATTAAGCAGACAAACCGAGACACAGACGAGGCCAACCCGCCCGACGCCATCTTGGAGGCTCCGGCCACGAGCCCGGACCCCTACTCACAATTACTAGCGGAGGACTTTGTTCACCTTCCGGAGATGGGAGAGAACCTAGACGAGCCCCCGATGCCTCCCCCACAGGCCCTGCAGGACTCCGTGCTCCTGGCATGCTTTAAGGCCATGCTGTAAGCCGAGCTCTCGACCGCCACAACTAAACTGGCCATGCACCTAACCAAGGAGATCTGCAAGTTAGGTCCCCACACAGAATGGAGGCCCACAGTTAGTCCCCAAGAGAACGGAAGGCCTGCCTCGCAACATAATCAAGTTTACATACTACCGCACCAAAGAAACTCTCCTACAAGTGGCCAGAGGTAAGCCATATCTCTGGTTTTAAGGTCACCGCTACCAGGTCTTCGCCAACCTTGCTCAAACCACCTTAGTGAAATGCCGACAGATGAAGCCCTACACCTCAGCCCTATTTGCCACCAAATCAGGTATCACTGAGTTTTTCCCTTCAAGCTTTCCTTATCCTTCAAGGACCACAGCAAAGTAGTAACTTCACCAGCAAAGGATCAATCAGTTCTCTCTTCGCTCCATCTACTCCCATCTGTTGAAGACCACCGCAGTCCAGCGAAATCTACTGACTCGCGGTCTCCTGCCAGCCTACAACTGTCTAAGAGGGGTTTACCTAAAGTGGCTCTAAAGTTGGGTTTTTTACCTTAATAGATTCCTTTTATTAAGGTATAAAAAAAAAAAAAAACACCCACAAAAACTATTCCCCCCTCTTCCCCTTCCTTCTTTCAATTAAAAAAAAAAAAAAAACATTCTAGGCTTTACAATCACTTTCCCTTTGAAGGGATCGTCCACTCTTTTTTTTGTAAGATACAGGTACGAGGATCCATCTAACTTCCCTGCAATGTTCAAAATTGACATTACTGGGAAAATGTAGTCTACTTTTAGTAAGCACATACAGTATTTTGAGTTTATTAGTTTCACTAATTTTTGTCTCTGATGGTTCCTTGCAAACTATCCAAATCTCCAAGGTCTTGTCAGCTACAGTCATGTATGATCTTGTAGAACATAATTGTGTTCAGCATTCTTTACACGTGGGTTGCCCACATCATCTGTTTTCATAATCTGTTTTTGTCAAGTTCAGTTATTAGTAAATTTGTGGTGGGGTAAACATGTGCCTTAAAGTGCATCTAAACCAAACAAAATTGCAATGCATGGCATCTATTTTTCAGGATAAGAACATTTTAGCAAGTGCAGAAAATGCAAATTAATCTTGCCAGAAATGTAATGTCTTTGTTAGTTCTTGTGACCTGAAATAACATCATACATATTGTTCTCTTGGTTTTAAAAACTTGTAATCCCATTAGTCCACCATGCAATAGAGACCGGCCTGAATGACATTCATGGCTCCTTCCACAGACACAGAGGAGAAAGGAGTATAGACACAAAAGTGATAGGTAGTGTGTTATGCTTAGCAATATCAGGTGAACATAAATAGATGTGATAGCTGCATTAGCTTTTTCTGGCATTTCTCTAACAACTTGTATGCTGCAATATATAATTTTTGTTAGTTATCCTTTAATACCTGTATAGTTTACAACACTTGCATGACTTATAAAAAATGACAAACAGCTGGAGGAGTACCGATTTGCAATCTTTATCTGACAGAAATGTATATTTTATATTTTCAGTAAGAGCATAGAAGACTTTAAAAGGTATTTTGTGCTTTCATAGGTTTTCATTGTTTTATCTAAGTACTAGTGTAGTTATATTCCCTATGTGGTCTGTTGGTCTTACCTTGCTGTGGCTGTAGTTTATAGTGTCATGGCTGATCACTTCTCTTATGTCCATGGCTTCCTACAGCTAGTCTGTCCCTATTTGTCAAAAGGACAAGATAATTTCCTGTTATAGGTCACACAGTGCCCAGTGCATGCATTGCCATCCCCTCTATGTCACATCACAAGCATAAGCGTACTATTGTACAAAAAAATAAATCTTCCAGCTGCATGGTAAGCTCTCTGTGTGTCTATGAAAGCTTTGCCTACTTGTGGCAGTGTCAGATCTAATTATTACTAGAATCAGCACTAGACAGAGATTCAGGAATTGTTTGATATGTAGGTTCTTCACGGGATGTGTCGGTTCTCAGACTACAGACAGAGGTCATGCACCTATGCAGTGCCAAGTGGCATGCTTCATTTTTGAGCACATGCTGCTGACATAGGAAAATTAGAATTTACACTAATATAGGATGTGCATACAGGGCAACAACAGACATCATGAAACTACTGGATCTATGTACACCTTGTGCAGGTAAGAAGGTTTATAGTGCTTTTAAGAATGAACTTTACAGACACTGGAAAAGGATTTACACGTATCCCATTTATTGCATACTCAGTGCCTACCTTCATGTACAGTATTCCAACATATCCATCCAACTCTGTTACCCCCAACCCATATCTCCAAAAACATTTATATTATGCCACACAGTGATCTCCTTGTTCAACAGTATTAAAATCCTTTCAATTAACAGTTAGTTTTAAGTTAATAGGTTATCATTAAATTACATGGGAAGGATCTGAAAAAATACACTGAAATCTGCAGGTGGGAAGTGTAAATCTGTAATTACATATAAAACTGAAGACAAACAGCATCATGCCAGCAGACGTAACTAGTGGCATAAAACTGGCTTTGGCCTGCCTGCTCTTCATAGTATACTGGCAGAAGTTTTAGGGCTTGTGGAGAACTAATTCATATGACGCTTATTTTTAAAGTGTCTACAAAGCTACACATCTGTGCTGTCAATCAATTTTTCTCCCATTTTTATTAAAAGTGTACTTCAGGCTTAAAACTAAAATACATAGATGAAATACTGCCCAAAGACCTGACTTACCTACAGCAGTAAAGTAACACAGCAAGGTCTTGTCTCTGCTCCCAGCTGTAAATTGAATAGCAAAGGAAAAACAGCAAGACTGCTGAACTCATCTTATATCACTCTGCTCTTCTCTTGTCAGCATATTGCTGGTTAGAACATAAGCACTGCAGCAAACATGATTGGCCTACTTGGGGTGCTCCCTCTCCCGGTCTGAGCTCCACTGCACAGGAGATTGCAAGAGGTTCACACCAAGTCTAATTCAGGCACTTACACCAGTTGCATTGAAAAAAATATGAACTTTTTAAATGACCCTGCATAGAAAAGAGCATCTGCCTGGAGTTCAGCTGTAATAGATTGAAGGATCAATCAAAGTATCTGACTGGCTGTCTTAGAAGACACTTTTCAGGTACTCACACAAGATCCACATTGGCAAAGCAATGAACATATTCTGATGTATCCCCTCTGCTTGTGAGTCCTGATTTTGGCGTTATAACACTAAGAAATTTGGTTAATTTACATAAATCATTAAGTGCATCTTGTCCATTGTCTTAACATTATTTCAAAATTCCAAAACAAGAAAAAAAAAATAACCTGAGATTAATTTAAAATAAAAAAAATGCTAAATCAGTTGTACTGCTATCTCAAAATGCCTATGGCTACAGGCAACAGTGCAGTCAATGCTTAAAAAGGAAGCACATACAGGCCAATCATACTGTCCCTTAATTGTTAAGGAAAGCTGATAAAGTAAGGGATGGATCTTTCACTCCTACTTGGTAATGGGCAGATCAGTCCCTGGCCAAGAAAGTCAAAGGATGCAACTACTGACTCAGATCAGATCCACTGGCTTGAACCTGGAGGAGGTATACTTGTATGTACCCCTTAGTACAGTAGTGTTAATAATTACATTAGAGTATGCACAGATGTAAAGATTCTACATTAGACTTGGATTTGTAGGATTAGGTAACCTAATTAAAAAAACAAAACTATCTTCATGGTGTTTCCGTGAGTTATGGTCAATTTATAGGCTTTCCATTAACATCACTCTAAGATCCAAACTCCTCTGTGTCTTCAGTGATTGGCTTGAAATCATAATTTCCTCGCCCATCCATATGGAGGTAGTACTGCAAAGAGAGTGAGAAAGTACTGGTGAATAGGAGTCAGAGGAGTAGAAACCTAGAGGATATCTAGATATACTGTATATAGCATGCATCAAAATGTAATGAACAGTAGAGCACAACTTCATACAAAACTGAAATTTCAGCTTTGGAAGTGCCCTAGTGGGTTGAATTACTTGCCTATTTCTTTCATCTCTCAGATATCCCACAACAACGAATTTTCCACACAAGGTGGCACTTTTCACAAATGTGAATATGTTTGATCTACAGAAGTTTGACTTCTCAATTATTTAAAACTAGTGTGCCTGGTGCTGAACAAGCAAGGATGTAGTGCTTTAAGCTTTGGGGATAGTGTAGCAGGTGCAGTGGCATGAGAACTTAATTAGTGGCATGTAAAAGGAGGGGAGGGTTCTTGCAGCAGGAATAGGGTATCAGGGAGGGAAGGGGGTGTACGCAAGTGGTGGCATACACAAGCTTGAGGGAGGAAGGAGGGGATGAATGATAGCGAGAAGGAGGAGGAGCTGGCAATGCAGGAAAGGGAAATGGTTGACAGTTGGGGATCTGATTGACATTGGGAAAGGGGGGGTAGATAGGTGTAAATGCAGATCCTGCACCATTCCCTGCTCACACTGCAGGAGATTCTGACAGAGGAGATGACAGACTGCCTAACAGCATCTCTTCTGTGGTTTCAGCAGTCTCTCCTCCTGTGTGCCTGTTATCTAAACTATGACAGATTATACAGTATAATCAGGGTTCAGACTGCTGCAGGGAGAATCTGACCGACTCTAAGCTCTGTAGCATGACTGCATGGCGTGGCCAGAAGGGACATCAAAGATGAGGTTGGGGGGAATGGAAAGGGAAGGAGGAGGGAAAAGATTTTTTGACTTACCGGTAAAATTTCATATCTTGAAGGTACACTACAGGCAATGTATTCATAAATTGTGAGTTATAGGCTCCTACCTCCAGGTGACTGGAGCAAGCTTTTGAGGACATGCCCCCCTGGTGCATTTCCCTGATAACCCTACCCCAGTCAACAAGTCATCGGTTTTGTAGAAAGCAATGCAAAGCAACAAGGGGTGGCCAAGGAGGGTGTTCTGTCTCTTGTACTGTACTCAAACATTTAAACATTCATGTTATCTTAATTGTACAGTACAGGGAACAGACAATCTATTCTTACACCATGGGACATACCCAAGAACTAAACACAAAGAGTGGGCAGCAACTATGCAAATGGAACTCTTCCAACAGGTCTAAAGGGGTCAAAGACCTAAGTTCAGAGTGCAGCTGCAATAACCCTGCGGCCAAAAGCTGCATCCACAGATGATTGGACATCCACCCAATAAAATTTTTAGAAAGTTTCAACAGAATACCAGGTGGTGGACTTGAACAGTTGGGCAATATAAGCTTGGTGCCTAAAAGCCCAAGATACTCCCACAGATCTGGTGAAGTGGGGGCACAACAGTGCAGAAGGAGGTTTTTGTTTAAAAGCATAAGTTCTTGTAATCAAGCTCTTGATCCAATGTGCAATGGTGGATATTGAAGCAAGCTGCCCCTTACAAGATCCAAAAGAAAGAAGAAAGGAGAATACATTTGTCTAATGGAAGCAGTAGCTTTTTAGGTACACTCTAATGAGTCCGATTATAACCAGGCAATATAAAGATTCTTTCACGCAATGCTTAAGGAGTGCATGAACCCAATTAAATTCACAGTAGCATTTTATTACAAAGATAAAAAGTACACTTACATCTGAGTAGCTGAACATCAGCAGGGATTGTAGGGACTGGGGAGTCACATCAGACTATACACAGTGGTAGCTGCTCATGATCCCAATGTCAGCTCGGGGACCTGCTCAGCCTTCATTGGGATCGTGAGCAGCCACCGCTGTATATAGCCTCACTGATGTGACTCCTTGATCTCTACAATCCCTGCTGATGTACAGCTACTCAGATGTAATTGTGCTTTTTATCTTTGTAATAAAATGCTATTGTGAATTTTAACTGGGTTCACGTGCTCCTGTCCCTTCTGTCTTTGAGCTTTGGTTGAATCACCCTGGATCTATCAAGGAAGTTGCATGTCCCCTGGAATACACATCATCTGGGCATCCCCCAACCCCCTTCTTGGGACACTAGTATACACAGATTAGTGGCCATTGGAAGCTGGGACTTGTGCGCTGTGACAGTTTATCCTTATCTTTTTTTATATGTATCCTTTGGCTGCTTAGGAGCAGGGTAAAAGGATAGCAGAACAATGTCCCCATTGAAATGTAATGCTGAAACCACCATTGGAAAAAAAGGATGGTCTTGGACGCAATACAATCTTTTCTTTGTGAAGTACAAAGAAAGGCTCTTTCCAGGAAAGGGAAGCTAGTTCAGAGACATGTCTGGCAGACATGCTGGCTACCAAAACGGCTACTTTGCTGGAAAGAACCTCTAAGGAAAGATCCCTGATGGGTTCAAAGGTTGGAGTCTGCAGGGCAGAGAGAACCAAATTAAGGTCCAAGAAAACACAGGATGTTGTAAGGGGTACCCAATATGAAAAACAACTAGGCCAAAAGCCTTTGGAAGAGGATGGAAAACACAGATACCTGCAATTTTAGGGTTCTAAGAGCTAGACTCTGATAAAGACTTGCTTGCAGGAAGTGCATACAAAGAGGAACAGGGTCATCTCTGGGACTCAATAGACTGTGCTTGCACCAGGCAAACTAAATTTTAATAAATCTTCCTGGAAGTGGTCTTTTTTGCTTTCAGAAAAGGAGGAAGCACAGGCAAAACACAGAGAAATTCTTGTTCAGACCTGTCATGCTGTTAAAGCCAGAAACTGTGAAGCAGGGTGAAATAGAAAGCCTTGAGATAGGAAATCTAGCCTGTTGTGAAGAGGCCAAGGATCATCTGCTAGAAGTCTAAGCACTTCTGTGTACTAGGTTCTCCTGGATCAGGGAGCCAGTAGAATCACTAGTTTCCTCTCTTGCTCTTATTTCTAGCTTAAACTGAGATTAGTGGATACCTAGAGCATCCAAGGCCAGAGTTAGAGGACCTCTGGTTCTAGCAACAGAGGTACCTTGTTATACAAGTCAATATGTCAACTAAAATGACATCACTTCAAAATAAAAAAATAAATAATGTATGGGTACATAAATACCCAAGGAACTCAACATTGTCCCACAATAACCTGAAAAAGGATACAAAGCGATACTGTGTACAAAAAAATTTAGCAAAGCTTCTTTCTTCACTCCTTGTGGTGGTGACCAAATGTCCACCCTTAGGGCTCGTTCACACTTGACTGTTTTACCAACTCTTGCCTAACGCCCCTATAGTGTTTGGCAAGCGTTGGTCCTGCGTTTGTGGAGCGTTTTTTAACGCTCCGCAAACGCCGCATGCGCGGTTCAGCGGTGGTTGCTAGGCGTTTGCCGAGCGTTAAAAACGCCCCACAAACGCCTATAATGAAGTTTGGATGGTGTTACCGCTCCGCAAACGCCCCGAAACTGCCGGCCGGGCGTTTGCAGAGTGGCACCATAGACTAGAATAGGAGGCTTCAACGCCTCCTGACTCGACCAGAGACTTCCGTTTTGCCGCGCTGCTACCGCTCCCGTAAGAACAGCACCATGTGCTGCAATGGGCAGAATTGACTGAGGCGTTTGGGAAGCGGTAAAAACGCTTCCCAAAAGCCTTTCTGCCGCTTGAAAACAAGGCTAGTGTGAACGTAGCCTTAAAATACTAAACCAAACCACATGTGCTGTCCTCCACCTACATGGATTTGCACTCACCAAAACATATTGCTAGGATTTCACAAAAATAGCAATTGCACTACCGAGATCCCAGAAAGATGAAATCTGCCTCTTCAATCACTGAGCTGTCTTCTGATGTTTACATGTAATCTCTCCACAAGTGAGCATACAAAGGAAGAAGCCATACAAAGTGTGACACCGTGGGATTAAAAATCTTTTATTAACACAAAGCCAATATACTCACATTCAGCTTGTACAGCAAAGCATCCAAAAATTACCCCACTGGATCACAGCAGTGTGTGGCGAGTGCTCCTGTCTGTGTCTTATGCACAGCTTGCCGCGCTGTGTTAAGACACTGCCCGATGCACAGCTGAATGCCACCAATAAAACACACACAAAGCTTGGCTCTGCCCTAATGCATTTCATTGGTTTGATGACTTCTTCCAAAGGGTAGCCGGTTCTTCCTTTGGATGCTCGCTGGTGGAGAGATTACATGTAAACATAGGAGGAAGCTCAGTGATTGAAGATTCCTGGAATCTCATAAGTGCAACTGCCATATTTGTGAAAGTTTGGCAATATCTTTTGGTGAGTGCAGATCAACGGATGTGGAGGACATCACGTGGTGCTTGGTTGGGAGTTTTAAAGTTGTATATTTGGTTACCACCACACAGAAGTGAAAAAAGCTTTGACATATTTGTTTTGAGGAACTAGAGTTTCCTGAAGAGGGTGGTTTTGGCACCTTCTTTTGAGGAAGTAAAACGTTTCCATGTGTGACCTCCTTGATGAACTTGTCAAGTGCCTCAACAGACAGGCATCTTCCTTGAAAGAGCATTCATGTGAGGTGCATTTTATAGGCAAATTTCGCTTTCCAAGCCTTTAGCCATAAGATTCTGCATACAGTGCATCCAGAAAGTATTCACAGCTCCTAACATTTGCCACATTTTGTTATGTTACAGCCTTATTCTAAAATGGATTAACTTCATTTTTTTCCTCAACATTCTACAAACAATACCCCATAATGACAAAGTGAAAGAAGTTTGTTTTGAAATCTTTGCAGTTTATTAAAAATAAAAAACGAAAAAAAAAAAAAAAAAAAAAAAAACACATTTACAAAAGTATTCACAGCCTTTGCTCAATACTTTGTTGAAGCAACTTTAGCATCAATTACACCCTCAAGTCGTTTTGAGTATGATGCTACAAGCTTGGCACACCTATTTTTGGGCAATTTCTCCCATTCTTCTTTGCAGTACCTATCAAGATCCATCAGGTTGGATGGGGAACGCCAGTGCACAGCCATTTTCAGATCTCTCCAGAGATGTTCAATCGGGTTCAAGTCTGGGCTCTGGCTGGGCCACTCCAGGACATTCACAGAGTTGGCCCATAGCCACTCCTTTGTTATGTGGACTGTGTGCTTAGGGTCATTGTCCTGTTGAAAGAAGAACTGTTGCCCCAGTCTAAGGTCCAGAGCGCTCTGGAACAGGTTTTCATCAAGGATGTTCTCTGTACATTGCTGCATTCATCTTTCCTTTGATCCTGACTAGTTTCTCAGTTCCTGCTGCTGAAAAACATCCCCACAGCATGATGCTGCCACCACCATACTTCACTGTAGGGATGGTATTGGTCAGGTAGTGAGCGGTGCCTGGTTTCCTCCAGACAGAATGCTTGGCATTCAGGTCAAAGAGTTAAGTCTCTGTTTCATTAGACCAGAGAGTTTTGTTTCGCATGGTCTGAGAGTCCCTCAGGTGCCTTTTGGCAGACTCCAGGCGGGCTGCCATTTGCCTTTTACTGAGGAGTGGCTTCCACCTGGGCACTCTACCATATAGGCCTGATTGGTGGAGTGGAGTACTGTAGAGATGGTTGTTCTTCTAGAAAGTCCTCCTCTCTCCAAAGAGAAATGCTGGAGCTCTTTCAGAGTGACCACCGGGTGCTTGGTTACCTCCCTGGCTAAGGCCCTTCTTCCTCGATCGCTCATTTTGGCCAGGCAGCCCATTCTAGGAAGATTCCTGGTGGTTCCAAACTTCTTCCATTTACGGATGATGGAGGCCACTGTGCCCATTGGGACCTTCAATGCTGTAGAAATTTTTCTGTACCCTTCCCCAGATCTGTGCTCTGATACAATTGTGTCTCAGAGGTCTACGGACAACTCCTTGGACTTCATGGCTTGGTTTGTGCTCTGACATGCACTGGTAACTGTGGGACCTTATATAGACAGGTTTGTGCCTTTCCTAATCATGTCCAATCAACTGAATTTCCCACAGGTGGACTCCAATCAAGTTGTGGAAACATCTCAAGGATGATCAGTGGGAACAGGATGCACCAGAGCTCAATTTTGAGTGTCATGGCAAAGACTGTGAATACTTTTGTACATGTTTTTTTTTTGTTTTTTATTTTTAATAAATTGCAAAGATTTCAAAACGAATTTCTTGCATGTTGTCATTATGTGGTATTGTTAGTAGAATGTTAAGTAAAAAAAATAATTTAATCCATTTTGGAGTAAGGGTGTAACATGACAAAATGTGGCAAAAGTTAAACATTGTGAATACTTTCTGGATGCACTGTATATGAATGAAGATTAGAGACATTCTGGATATTTGTCTCATGATGTGTTCCAGGGTATCTACACAAAAACAAAACAGAAGAGCAGAAGGCAACCAATGAAACTGCTCAATAACAGTATGATCCTGAATGATAGGGTTATTTATTGTCCTAGTCCAGTTAGCTGCAGTTTGGCATACAGAAATAGCAGCAAGGGCTGGGCCTGCTAGGTTAAACAAAGCATTTAGGAGCATCTTAAATTTTTGGCAGAATCCTTGAAGGAAGGAACGTCTTTAATAGGTACAGTAAGAGGTTTGTTTAGAACAGCAAGATCAACAACAGGAATAGCCCACTTTTTTGCAAACTCCTTTTCTTGCTCAGCAAAGATTTTTGGGTGAGTGAAAAATGAGTGACCCAGTTGTCATAGACCTCACATTATATCTGTTCACGAACAGTGAACATTTTGCAAGTTTTTGTAGATCTCTTTGTATCCACAGGAGCATGGCGGGACAGAGGAGTTTCAGGATGCACAATACCAAGGCTTTATGCAGAAAGAGGAAATGAGAGGGTTCGAAATTACCAGGTAGAGGAAATACCTTCCCCAAGTTTGGCCAATCAGCTGTCTTGTGTCACACTGCCAAACACCTGTAATCCTCCATTGCTAAGTGAGGGTCTTCCCCTGTGGGGTACGTGGATTAAAGGGGTTCAGTGTGTCCATATAAATGGGTCACAGCAGGGGCGGACTGACAACTCATGGGGCCCCTGTGTCCTTGCCCAAACTCAAAAAAGCCTATGAAAAAGGTATCAGGGGCATCTCATGGGGCCTTCTACTGACCCCGGTCCCTCGGGCAGTGCCCAAGTTTCCAAATGGTCAGTCCAGCCATGGGTCACAGTAACCCAGATGCTAATCTTGTTCCAATGGCTGTTACCTATTGGAGTTGGGCAACAGGTGGTGTGGCAAATAATCAGCTTGCGTTGTTGGCAGAAAATGGTGGGCAAAAGTGTGCAGCTATAAATCTTATTAGCACTACGTCACTATCCAAAAAGGAACTTCCAATTGGAAGGTGGAAAAGAGCTGCCAAATGTGAACAAGTATACATTCTAATAATGTTACACATTAAGCCAAATCGTGAAACAATACAGTTAGAGAAAAAATACCCTTTACATCTGTGACCTTATAGCCCGTGTGTACAGGGTAACACTGTTTTTTTTTACATTCTATCGCTGGTCACGTCCAGGGTTTGCCTGTCAAAGTGGGAATACTCTCAGAGGGGTCTTCAGAGTCTGGGTGCCATAGGCAGTGACCATAACCCTGGACCTGTATAGCACCCTGAGGCTAACTACACTGTGTAACACAGAATCCAGTGCCATAAGAAAATATTACAGGCTAGCCCTGCTGCTGTGGGGTCTGGGTGTGTTTGAGGGTCTCAGATCCAGAAACTGCTAATGAGCAATTAAGGCAGTAGTCAAAAATGGTAATTAAACCTGGTGAAAAAGAAGAAGGCATCTATCACCTAAGGACACTAGCAAAACATTGGAGAATTGCAGAATGAGCGGGGTGATATGGGGACATCAGGGGGCAGACCCAGCAAAGGTTTTGCCAGTGTCTAATCACCTGAATATAACCCATGGTCTATGAATCAATTTCGGTGTCCTGTAATGTACATCATCTTTTTTTTTTTTTCACAATTTTTGGCCTGATTTTCTTTGATAAAAAAAATAAATCTATCAATATGTATTGCCATTTTGATAATAAAAAAAAAAAAAAATCTATCAATACAGGCAGTCCCCGGGTTACGTACAAGATAGGGACTGTAGGTTTGTTCATAAGTCGAATTTGTTCATAAGTTGAATCAGGCACTTTTATAAGCACTAACTACTAACCAAACGACAGGATATTAGATTACGTTTTTGTAATAAGGTTACAGAAAGCAGTAAAACCTCAAGAGGCTCTAAAACTGGTGTTTTGCATAAGAACTGCAGCTTGGACACATGTTTGCCTTAACATATTTAACTTTTATGTGCATGTAAATGTTTAAACATCAAATTCAACATTCAAATATTATACTGTAAACTCTTGTACAGTGTAGAGTACATGCTTTGCAAATGGATGATGATTTTTCACCACTCTCTGATCTCTTTATTATTTCTACTTTATCTTCCAAGGAGATTGTTTTTCTTTTCTTTGCTGTGCCAGCACTTGCATCAGCTTTTTGCTTTGGAGGCATTATTGCAGGGTAAAAATACACTGTACTGTAATGTACTGTATGAGAGAACTCTGCTCTCCTTTACACAGCACACGCTGCCCCCTCCCCCCTGCACAGACGGAGGATCACTTCAGTGAGCAGCCTGACAGCCTCTCCTTTCCTCTCCCCGGAGGTGCAGACAGACAGTCTTAAATCACTTTGGAGATAGTGGGCAGACACTGCTAGCCCCACAAGTAACGAGCAATGGATGTCTCTGTCTCTTATGTCTCTCTGATGTCTCTTATCAGCTAGTCTCTTATCAGCTTGCTGCACAAGAATGCTGACAGCTTGACTTCCGGTCCCGAGGGAAGTGTACGTAAGTATGAGTATTACGTAAGCCGAATGTACTTAACTCGGGGACTGCCTGTATGTATTGCCATTTATCTTCAAAATCTTCTGTCAAAAAAGGGGTTAAAGTAGTACAGTGGTGTTTTAATTTAACATTAAAAGGAGACGTTCACCTTTAGTAGCATGTTACACCCATATTGAGGGTGCAACATGTTACTCATGCAGCAGCACTGCCCTGAAATAATGTATAAAGACACTATACCTCATGGTGTTTCCACAGGGACTTTCTGTGTGACACTGTGAACAGAGTTATTCCAACCTGGGAAAGATAAAAAAAAGAAACATATAACAAACAAAACTTTGCACTTTATCACAATTAACAACTTCACTACTGCTACGATTTAAAAAACAGTATTAAACCCAAAAGCAAACATTTATAATATTGCTGTTTACCAATTCTTAGATGTAATGGCAACATTTGTTTTCTTTTTTGGGTTCTCTTTCTTCTATTTTCATCTGCTAGAACATAACACCCCCTCCATCGAAACTGGCAATGCTACTGTCTGCTGTACCCCCTGTGCTCATTTACCCAGAGTGGGGTCACTATTACAGGAGGTTTGTTACTGGCCAGATCACCAGGTGAAAACAGAAGGAAAAAAAGACTTAAAGAAATCAAATGGAGCCACCGCATCAAATAAATGGTAAGCTGCAATATATTACATTTTTGGTTTAATACTGCTTTAGTAATATGTAAAAAAAAAAAAAAAAAAAAAAAAAAATGGAGCACTGCTCCTGGTTGGTCCACTTGCATATATACCTCACGCACTCTAAGCAGGTGCCAGCCCAGTTTGCACACCTGTGCATATAATGAAAGAAGAAAAGTCCAGATGGCTGCTCTCCAAGCACTGTAATCCACCTTAACCATTTACGAACAGAGATGAATAAAAACACCTAAGTATTATGATTAAGCACTAAGAGGAGCGCAAAAGGCATTAACTGTTCTCTCCCCTATTGTGACTTTTCAGGTGCTTTTATGCTGCTCTGTTCATGAATGCTTAATAAAGGTGGACTACCGTGCTTGAAGTGCGGCTGTCTGAACTTTTCTTTCATTTATATGCTTTAAGAACATGAATGGGCTCTAAGGCTAGATTCATAGTATATATATTGCGTTAAGCATGCATTGGCACTCCTGAGCTGTGATATGGTCGCTGCATTCTGGACCATTGTACAGGCACTAGAAAGTGTTTCAGAAGCAAGTTTCTTTTTTAGGTTTTCTATGATTAAAGAGGTCCAGGTTGCCCCCCCCCAAAAAAAAAGCCAGCAGCTACAAATACTGTAGCTGCTGACTTTTAATATAAGGACACTTACCTGTCCAGGGATCCAGTGCCATCATGACCCGGGCTGGTTCTTCACTAGACCCTGGGTTCCCAGCACCAGCATTGCAAGTAAGGGAAGCTGGCTTCACAGCCGGTTTCCTACTGCACCTTGAGATTGGTCCTGCAGTCTTCTGGGACCTGTGAAGTGTCCCAGAAGACTGCAGGGGGAAGGAAGGGGGCCAAACTATCGACTCTGAGCCATCACAGAAGTGTTACAGCCCTGGACCTGAATTAAAGACTCTCTCATCCGCAGCTCATGCCTACCGGTCCCGAAAACTTTACAGATTTTAGATGTACCTGTTTTTTATCTTCAAAATTTGAGTGTTATCCACAGTATTGTTTTAATAAATTGTCAAAATCTCTGCACTCAGTGGCGCCTTCTCTACCTCTTTTTTACATGTTACACGGGAGATCTGTTTCTGCTCCACTCTAAAGAACTTGAAGTGACAACTACTCTGGTGCCCTTGTGGATCTTCTGTTGGATACAGCAGAGGTCTGGAAGATGACTGGCTTCTATGCAAGACTGAACCAGATTTTGCACTCTTCAGTTTTAGTAAGGCCCCTTCCACATGAGGCGGACTCCGCCACAATTCTGCTTGCTTAGTTGGGGATCTGTCTGCTGATCCCCGCTTAGCAGGCAGATGGCTGGTCTGTGTCTGCTCTGCTTATGTGGAGAAAACACAGACACAGCCCGCTCTCCTATATGGGCCCTCTGTTTTTAGTGTATTGGATCAGATTGAATTGGATGTAGGGGGGTGTACAAGGACACATGCCAATTTAACCCGCCGCTCCATGGAGGATAAAGGAGGGTCCAATCAGGTCCGCCTGAAAAACTGACTGATTGGTCCGCTCGGGTGAAAAGGGCCTAAATCAACACCTCTCTAATATAGCACGTATGGACAGTTTTTAATGTTCTGCATTTAATGACACGTTAAGAAATTTTGTAGCTTTCTGTATGATTGCTGAATATCATCTAAGAAATAAGAACTATCTTAATAAACACTGACATTTTGCTTTACCATAAAAAGTCCTGAGACACTACTGCAAGATCAGACTATTCTTTACTATGCTTCACAGTTGGAATATGTGTTGTTCTAGCATTCAACCATATCACTCAAACATAAAGCAGTGTAATATTTACCAAAAAGTAAAACTTTTGTATCCCCTGTCCATACATTATTACAGCAATGTTTTAGGACATAAAGAGAAATTTGCCATGCAAGCAGCAGGTAATCGAAACGGTTGTGATATTATTATAAATAGAGCATATAAAATCTACATCTGTCTCAAAGATGGAATTGCTGTACTCCGCATTTCAATATGTCAACATCCCAAATGCTTTTCTGACAATAACCTTAAAAATGGTAATTTTTTTTTTGTAATAAGGATGTGTCAATACAAAATGACGTGAATGGAGTAAAGATTGCCATTAGTTACTTTTATGACTGATAAGGTTACAAAAGTTAACACAGTTTATGAGTAATTTATACAGCGTATTGAATGGGTGTGACAGCCACATGTTTGGCTGAGCTGTGCAGACTGATGGCAGTGATCAAAACTTTCTTTTCTAATTGAGACGCACGTTCTGAAAGTTATTTATGTGAAGGAGGACATTCATTCATTATACTACAAGGTCTCCCGTTATCAGCCCCTGCATCGCAAATGACTGTGCAATGTAAAAGTCTCCAAAAGACTGTTTTTAGAATACTTCTGTATACACTCAGTGCTATTGGGATATACTGGTTTCCTGATTTATAGTCTCAAATAAAACCTTTAGAAATAGCTTACCATCATATATCCAATGTGCTACCCACTGGCCAATTATTAAAAGAGAAAAACATGCATCTGTCTGGGGCCTGATACTCAAGGGGCGGCCCCACTGGAATGCCTCACAGGTAACCACAATTTCCTTCACTTACCTTCCTACAATGGCTGTAGATATAACCTTCTACATCCACACTAACAGCGCTTGTGCATTCATCCAAGATTGCAAACTGAGGCCTGTGGTAGAATAAACGTGCCATCTAAAATCAAAAGAAGAAAAGCATTGAAGAAAAAGAAGCAAGGCATAAAAACAGACCTCAGACTAAAAAGAACTCATATCTAAAAATGATCATTTGTAAATACACTGCAATAAAGGATATTTTGAAATCTCCAATTATAATGGTGATCCTACTCTTTTGACATTCCTGGCTGGCCAATATGCAAGTTAGCAGCTCCATGACCCTCTACACCAGGGGTGTCCAAACTTTTTTCAAAGAGGGCCAGATTGGATGAAGTGAACATGGTGGAGGGCCGAACATTTTTCCGAACATTCTTTGAACCATTACAATTAAATGCAACTAAATTATTTTATGCCAAGTTAATTGCAAACGACATATTTTTCATTTCATAACATTAAGATCAACTGACAGCTGAGTTTTCACAATGTATTGAAAATAAATTTAAAAAAACTTACGTGCACTAATGTGAAGGGTGAAAAATGTAGCTGGAGCTGAAGTCTCTGCTGGGCAGCCGGGAGGGGAAGAGAAACACACTTCACGCTGGAAGCCCGGCCCTGACGTCACCGCCTTCTGTCGCTCCCAGCGCGGCACAGTCACGCATGCACACTGCTCTCAAGCAGAAGACTGTCTGCCACAGATGGGAGGGCCGTGCGACAGCCGTATTTACACAGACCAGGGAGAACACGCCGCAGTCAGGCATGCGCACTGCCCTCTTCTCTCAAGCAGAAGACTGTCTGCCATAGAAGGGAGGGCCGTGGGAGGGCCACATTACACAGAGCAGGGAGGGCTGTTGGAGGGCCGTATTAAACCGACCCCCCCGGGCCGTAAATGGCCTGCGGGCCGGACTTTGGACATGCCTGCTCTACACAATTATGGCTTAGGATACACCCATCAGGAGAAAAATTTGCAGGATGCAGTTTCTAGCTCCTCCTGAAAATGCTACTTGTTTGGCACTGAACCAGCACATATACATACAGCAAATAGTCGAATACCTTATCATATCTGAAGCCAAAACAACAGCATGATTGACAGCCAGAGAATTAGCATTTTCAGACAGAATGATCAACAACTGCAACCTACCCATTTTGTTTTCTTCCTTACACAAATCACTATTTTTTCTTCAGGAGCTCTCTAAGCTACGAAAACCACTCCTGGTATGTACATCAGGAAGCTACACTTTCTGCTTCCTACTGTATCGGAAGTATATCTATAAAAACTACCAGTTTCACTGTTGTGCCATTCACAAAGCACAGTGATTACATTTGTGCTGTACTTTATGAATGACAGATAAAAGGGAAGTCGAGGCAGAGGTAAAACACTGGAACTGGTGTTGTTCATAGATACCTGATCTAAATATCAGAAGTTCTCAAGTGAGCTAAGAGTGATCGCAAAGATATAAAAAATATAAGAGTGGCAATGAAAAAAAAAAAAAAAAAAAAACAATCGATCAATAAATTAGCTGTGCTTGACGTTGTGCTGTATATGCCTCTGTGCCATTTTGTGCTCAGACGATTGAAAGCAACTAGATGAAAAGCCTGTTTTTTCAAAACGTTGCTGCTATTTCTAAAAATCCTAGTATGGTGCATCTATTGTTTTACAATGTATAAAACACACAGATCAGCATGGAAGAGCAATTGTTTTTTGTAATATCAAAGGTTCTAGTACTTCTGAAAACTTCTACTGCTCTGAAATGGCTAGAGTATTGCACTGTGACCCAAAATAAATTGACAGCTGCCGCTCAAGGCTCCCCTGGGACCTCTTATGTAGCAACCGCTTGAAGTGCAGACAAGGACAGAGCTGGTCGCAGCTCTAGATATCTAATGGAAAAAGGAAAAGTCCTAGAAGTTGCACGTCTCTGCAAAACCCCGTAAGAAGGTATATGACAGCCTCAGACCAAGCTGCATCCAGGTCCATGTGTGGCCTGGTTGTAGTCCGGCCTGAGACGGTCATACAACTTTTTACGGGGTTTTGCAGAGATGAGCAACTTTCAGGACTTTGCCTTTTTCCATACAGCTTTGTACTGCCACTTGACACCAAAAGCAATTAATTGGACTGTTACTTCAGAAGAAAAAAAATGAACATGGATGAAAGCGCATTAGTGTGCTTTGCTGCTGCATCTCAGGAACTACATGGTGAAATATACATCACTGTACCTTACCACTGCATCCCAGGTGCTCAGGTTCCCACAAGAATACACTTCTGTATATTTTTCTTTCCCCATTTTTTTTTTTATTCAGCAGGTGGGGGGCATTAAATTTTACACTTTAAAGATACCACACAAGTAGTCACAAGTGATACCACACAGAATATATTTAATATTTGAGGAGTAGTGACATTTTGAAAAATGAAACAGAAGGTAAAGCAAGACTGCTGATGAGTAAACAAATGTATGTATGATTTGTATCATATAATTAAATTTAAGGATTGCATTCATGCAAATCAAAGTGGCACTCTATGTAACTGAACAAATGGTGTCCTACCGCCATCCTTTGCTTTTCTCCTCCACTGAGAACATCCATCCAGTCCTGCACACTATCCCAGCCTCCTTCACGTTCCAAAATTGGTCCCAGTTGAACATTATCAAGGTAATCCTTTAGGACCTGTGTGGGTAGAGTATACAACACCTAACTGTTAATACTTTTGTGTTTTCAAACTAAACATGCCCTTAACCATTAAAATATAGACTGGTGTCTTCAAACCTTATCTAAAATGCCTTTGCGTTTCTGGTCTTCATGTGTGTCTGGATAGATGACTTGGTCCCGTAATGTCCCCAAAGTCATATAGGGCCTCTAAAACAAGCAAAGAACATAAAGAATGAGTATACTACATTTTTTTTTTTTTTTTTTTGGCTACACTTGATGACAATGTTAATGAAAACTACCTGGGGAACATAAAATAGTTTTCCTCGTTCTGGCTTAGTCAGACTTCCTCCAAACAGTGGCCACAGCTAGAAAAAATACAAATAGTATTAAAACATTACTACTAAAAATAATCACTCCTATCTGTGTGCCACATATACAGAGATGAAAATTGCAAACTGCGCAAAAAATTACCTCTCCCAAGACGCGGAAGAGGGAGCTCTTCCCACAGCCATTTGGCCCACAGACAAGGACATTGGTGCCAGACCTTACCTATAAACAGATAGTTACAATAAATGTTTAAACAATGAAGCACCCCTGATAAAGAGACAGGGTATACCTAAATATTGAGAACATACGCAACACATCCCATAAAATATTGAATTATATTTAAACACTACTAATGTCACTGATGTATCTCAGGTTGACCATGGACCGTACCCCTCATGGAGAATCACACGTGATAAGACATTTTAGCATCTTGAGTTTTGAGCAGTCAAACTCCTTACCCTTTTCAAACTAAAGTAAAAAATAGTAAACTAGTGTTATCCTCTGGAACTCACTACCCCAATCCATCAGACTGTCACCTTCCCTCCTCACCTTCAGGCGCTCCCTGAAAACCCACCTCTTCAGGGAAGCCTACCCCACCCTCACCTAACAGCCGCTGCCCTTCCCTCCTCCTACCACTCCATCCCCCACAGCCATTTCCTCCTGTACCTCTACCCCCTTTCTCCTAGATTGTAAGCTCGAAAGAGTAGGGCCCTCTTACCCCTTGTGTGCTGTTTGATGTTACTGTACTGTTTCATGTATTGTCCCCCCCTCTATTGTACAGCGCTGAGCAAACCCTTTGGCGCTATATAAACTCGATAGATAAATAAATAAATAATAAATAAATCCTTTAAAGGCCAAAGCACCCATATGATGCACTTACTCCAGGGTCACTGACAAGTACTGACAGGGATAATAGAGCCATGAGAGGGGAGAGGCTTTTATCTGATGATTTGCAAGTGTAATCAGCTACCTTTTACACTACATCCCATCCAGAGATCTAGCACTTTTCCAGGAAAAAAATGCATGACAAACTCAGTTTGTGATAAGGCATTGCTTGTACTTCCACAGGCATAAATCTTGATTGTGAAGTTTCGCCTTTAACCTTTTTTCTACTGGTTCCATTTTAAAGAATTGGCCCTTCAAGATAAGATACTATGAGAGAACACAATTGAGAAAAGATATGATTCTACTAACCTCAAAGTTCAAATCTCTGATTAAAATGTCTCCATTTGGTGTTGCAAGAGGAACATGCTCAAATCTTTCAAAAAAAAGAAAAAAGAAACAATGGACATTTGTTATATACACACTGGATATTTTAACACTTCTATATCACAATGTATGGTATTCTGGCAAGACTAAATGAAATGGTCGAAACCTGAAATAGAAAAAAAAAAAATCATATTCTTCATCTGTATATTAAATCGCACTCGATGCATAAATGTGTCGGGGGATTTAAGAAATGTTTTAAATTTTAAATGTTTTACCCAGCACTTTATGAAAAGAAAATGCATGTACGCCAAATACCAAATATGTACACAGCTTGCAGCACCCAAGATAATACCACCTCTACAAATCTATACAAATGAATGTGCCGTGCTCAATTTAGAATCAGTAATGTGATCAACTAGAAAAAAAAATACATTAAATAATAGACAATTGTTTGAATTCATATAAATTCACTACAATAATATACAGTCCAATCATCCAGTGAATTATAAAAATATATAAATGTGTTAATGTCCATATAAATCAATGCTGAACTACTTCCCAAAATTACTCCAAAGTGCCAGAAACAATGCTGAAATTACGCAACCACCACCAACCCCTTTGGGCACACTCTCGCCTTGAAAACAAATTATTTTACCAAGTGAGCACAGCATGCAATGATACAGTACACCAGGTGGACATATATCTTTGAATGCAGTGATCACTTGGTAATATCAGACAGCAGTCCTAGCTTTTTCCCAGCTACTTAAAAGAAACTGGTTATACCAGACCTTCAATAACTAAGGTCTGGCTTTCAAGGAGAGAGTGTGCCCACAGGAGTTGGTTGTGAGTGCACAATTTCAGCATTGTTCCTGGCACTTTGGCATGTATTAGGAAAATCTAGGGAGTATTTCAAGGTTGATATTTGGCATTTACCACATTTATATATTTTATAGTTCACTGGATGACTGAACTGTATATAACTATAGTGGATGTATATGAATTTCAAACAAATGCAATTTTTTATTTTTTTTATTTCGTTGTTGATCATATTACTGTGTTACTTAATTGAGCACAACACATAAATTTATATAAAAAAGTTTTTGGAGTATACAGAACCACTCACATTAACCACCAAATTTAAGTATCTTACCATCTAAGTTTCCTGACTTTCACACACACACACACACTAGTGTCACCTAGTGGGTTGAAAGCTATTCTCTGTGTCATAAAAGGAATTAGTTTACTAGTATACATCTAGACCAGGGGTCTCCAAACATTCTAAACAAAGGGCCAGTTTACTATCCTTCAGATTTTAGGGGGGCCAGACTTTGGCCAGCAGGAGTAGAAAATGTTGATGGTCAGTGGGAGTAAAATAATAATTAAAAAAACAAAAAAACAAAAAAAAAAAACATAACACCCCTGTGGTTAGAAGGAGGCGGGATAGCGCCCAATCAATTTTAGTGTTAGTGGGAGAAATAATGCCCCATTGTTGGTGCCAATGGAAAGAATAGTGCCCCATCATTGGTGTCAGAGGAAGAATTTATGCCTTATCTTTGGTGTCAGCGAGAGGAATAATACCTCATTGTTGATGTCAGAGGGAGGATTAGTGTCAAAAGGGCTAGATATAGGCAAGCAAAGGGCCAGATCTGGCCCACAGTTTAAAGACCACTAGTCTAGACTAATGGAGGAAACTGGATTACCTTTTGAATTATTTCACTCAAAACATAAAATAACAAGCTCCATGCAGTGTCTCAATTGGGAAATGTGGAAATGAAATCAGGACCACTGTGGTGAAAGCCCGCAGCATTATCAATCAAGCTACAATGGTATCCTGGGATTCAGTATCATCACTAGAATATTAAAACAACACTACTGTACCTCTACCAGAGTACAATACTGACCTCTACAACCTGTGACTGTAAACATTTGAATAAGCTTTAAGGAAGGACAATGTTCAAGATTTTTGTAAGGCACACAGCAGGCACACAGCATCTCTCTCCTACAGCTGGAAGCCATAAGCAGACACAATCATTATACTATATATCGGGGACCTCTGCTGGAGAGTTTCAGTAAAGCTGCTTAATAATGTAAAAATGCAAGACTGCATACATTTCACAGGTAGGTGGTGTTTTAGTGTTTTAGGTAATAAACTTACATACAGATCATTGCATTCTCTTTTAGTAATCTTTCCTATCAGCAATTTATCTTAGATTGCAAATAGTGCTATTTTAATTAAGGAAAACATGGTTGAGGATGCATGGTCTCAGCCCTTGCTGGTGTTTCCATCTGAAAATCCAAGTCCAAGGCTGTCATATTGATCTGTTGTCTTGAGTGAAAATCACAGAACTATTTGCAAATAAGAAGGTCTGACATTTCTAATATTCCAACTCACAATATTGAAGCCAGAGGCAGCATTTAACCTGCAGGCAAGTTAAATGTATGTAGATATGTAATTTAAAGTAGAACTATAGGCAAAACTTTTTTGTCATTTTGGATAAAGCAAGGGAAGGTTATAGCATCTGTCAGTTTATTATTTGCCATCTGTGTCCCATTGGAGAGAGTTATCTTTACTCCCTGTCCCACAGCCAAAACAAGTGAGAGAAAATCCTTACAAATAAAAGGAATTCCTTGGGGACCCCCAGATCACCAGAACTAGTGTTCAAATTGCAAAATGTACATTCTATTACTTTTCTGGGGACAACCCAAAATGTGGAGTTTTCTTTTACTTTCAATAATAATGGTAAATAGGACAAATTCCCCTAAAGGGGACATGGACTGCAATACAAACTTAATAGGTGTTCTAATCCATCTCCACTCTGTCAAAAATTAAAAAAAAAAAAGTTTTGCCTTTAGTTATACTTTAAAGTACTACAAGGGTATGTATTAATGTGCAAAAGAGACAGACTGCAAACTTATATGTGGCTCCTGCTGTCAATCACAGCCAATGAGCCAATAAGGAGAGAGCAGGGGTGGGGCTGAGATGCAGCTGTGTGTGAACAGCACAGGAGCAAGCCTACTTGGGTGCCCTCATAGCAAACTGCTTGCTGTGGGGGCACTTGTCAGAAGGGAGGGGTCAGGGAACTCGAGAAAAAGGAGGATCAGGGTTATTCTGGGCAAAAACACTGCAGAATGCAAGTATGACATGTTTGGTATTTTTCTAAAAATTGCCCTTACAATTGCTTTAAAGTGGTTCTAAAGTCTCAAGGTTTTTTTATCATCATGCATTCTATGCATGAAGGTAAAAAAAACGTTCTGTGTGTAGCTGCACCCCAAACACTTACCGGAGCCTCTTCTTGATCCAGAGATGTCCACAAGAGCCTCGGTTCTCCAGGGATTCTCACTCATGATTGGCTGAGGCAGCAGCCATTGGCTCCCGCTGCTGTCAATCACAGCCAGTGACCCAAGCAGGATAGGGAGGGGACGGGGTCGAGCAGCAGCTGTGTGTATGAATGAACAAGCAGAGACATGGCTCGGGTGCCCCTGTAGCAAGCTGCTTGCTATGGGGGCACCCGACAGGAGGGAGGGGCCAGGAGCGTCAGCAGGGGACCCAAGAGGAGGAGGATTGGGGCTGCTCTGTACAAAACCATTACACAAAGCAAGTATGACAGGTTTGTTGTTTTTAAGAAAAAAAAAACAAGACTTTAGTATAATTTTTAAGTCTTCTAAATCATAGGATAAATCTCTTTACTACAAGTTAGGCTGAGGGACACTACAGCTATGCAAAGTCCAGCAAGATCTAAAGTTCTATCACTGCTGCCCTAACAGGGGAGACTGGAATCAGAAGTGAAAGGCTTACCAAACCTGAATAAACAGTTGTACAGACATAACCTTTATATAAAATTAAGTTAATCTGAAAAGTAAAATGAACTGTACTGCTAATTGTGATGTAACAGTGCATTACAAGCATGTAATAAAACCTACTGTAAACGCCAGACTACAGTAAAGTTGATAACTGCTAAAACCATCCAGCAGGATAATGTAATTCTGGTTACAGAATAATGTATTATCACATTTCCTTTGTTAGTGATGAAATGTTGGCTTTCCCCACCCTTGGTTAACAATGTGGTATATCGGCATTTCACACCATTTAGTTCAGCGAGTACTAATCAAATGCAGAGAAATCCTGTGGGAACTTAAAAAAAAAAAAAAAAAAAAAAAAAAAAAAAAACTTACTTGATGATGTTGTCAGCATTTATAATTCTACCACTTCCTGGAATTAAGGGAATGCTGGGACCAGATTCGGACTCTACAAATCCAAATAAAATGTATCAGCATGTGTAGTTAAGAAGGGATGTTTTATTACTGAAGTGAATGAAGCAATTACCTTTGTCCTGTTGAGAAACCATAGTGCGTTCATATTTGCCTTGGTTCAAGTCCTTTAGCACTTGCATCAGCTCTGTAATTCTGGCTGTGAAACTACATACATAACACTCTGTTAGTGTTATACTTTGATCAAAGTTAATTTTACAAATAATAAAGATGAACAATATCCCAAAAAGAATGTTGTTACTTTAACCATTTTATGTTAACTCTTTCTTTGGCATGGCTATCACTTACCCACCTGTGCGTATTCCATCCATTTCTAGTCTATATATCTAGCTAATGAAGTTTACTAAGGGTGCATTCACACTTGCAAATGAATCCTGCCTGCGATTACATGCAAGATCCTGTGATTAGCTGTGGTTGACAGCCTCTTTGAAAGCAATGGGAGGCTTCCAGCATTCGCAGTTACCCCCACCCACTTATATGTATTCTTGCAAGCATGAGAAGGGTTGAATGCATAGTCCTAAAAGGACATACTTAAATTAATGGATATCTAAAAGTGTTCACTTTTTAAGAAAAAATTAAAATGTAAACATCGTACACCCTTCCCAGAGCTGTCAAGTGCCCACACAGCCGATGCAGTGGTCTGGGGATTTGAAATCCCCTCCCATTTTCTTTCTGCATTGCTTCTGGGATAGGTCAGATCGATGCTTTGCGCCAGTGCTGGCCAATCAGAATCGCTGTAATCCATCCCAAAAACACTGCATAAAGAGGGAGAAAAGCGGGACTTTCAAATCCCCCAACTGCTGCACTGGCTGCATGGGCACTAACAGCTCAGCATCCATGAAGGCAGATACAATGGGAAGGGTGTACGGAGTTAGTTCACATTATAGGTTTTTCGGAAAATTTGAATATTTTAAAAGCACTGTTTATCAACCTTTTTTTTTTTTAGTCAAGGCACCCTTTAAAATTATGGACAGTCCCGAGGCACCCTTCAAAATTATGGACAGTCTTGAGGCACCCCATTCTAAAATGTGAAAAACTATTCTAACAACTACAGAGCTACATCTAACTATTCTTCAAAACATTCCGTCCCCCCTTCTACCTATCCAGCATGCAAACAAAGATTTTTATACTTACATGGGTTGGACAAAAAAAGGGAAACAATACATTATTTGCATGTGTGAGAGTGAGCACATATTTTGCTTTAAAGGCAGAAATGATGCAACACTCTTGCTTCCACTGTGTGATGACACCCAGCTAACAGGTGGGAAGCCTCACTTTCATCATTCACTGCGTGTGCTGCTAGTAATACGGAGTCATGTCAGAGCTTACTGAGCTTCAAAGAGGGCAAATTGTTGATGCCCGCTTAGCTTGTGCCTCTGTGTCTGAAGTTGCCAATTTATTTGCCGTGTCGCAAAGTACAATACCAAAAGGTTACGACAGCATATTGGCTCCACACTGGCTCACAATTAATATGATCCAGGAATATTTAAACAGAATAAAGAGGAATAAAGCACCGGATGAAATACACCCATGGGCCCTTAAAGAATTTAGCTCTGTCATTTAAAACCCATTTTTTATAATTTTTAGGAACTCTTTCCTGACTGGCATAGTAACACAGGATTGGCGTAAGGCCAATGTGGTGCCTATACTTAAAAAGGGATCAAAATCTTTAGCAAGTAACTTTAGGCCTGTTAGTTTAACATCTATAGTTGGGAAGATACTGGAGAGTTTAATAAAAGACCACATAGATGAGTTCTTGCTGGAAAAAAATATTTTTAAGCAACAGACAGCATGGATTCATGAAAGACAGAAGTTGTCAAACAAATCTGATTTCTTTTTATGAGGAGGTGAGCAAAACCTTGGAGAGAGGGGGTGGCTGTGGATATAGTATACTTGGATTTTGCAAAAGCGCTTGACACAGTTCATCCACACACGGCTAATGTGTAAGGTAAAGTCTACGGGCTTAAAAAAATTAGTATGTAAATGGATAGAAAACGTGGTAAAAGATCGTATTCAGAGGAAAGTGGTTAATGATTCATACTCATGGTCTAGGGTCATCAGTGGTGTACCCCAAGGTTCAGTGTTGGGACCCTTACTTTTTAATATATTTATAAACGATATAGGGTCTGGGATTATAAATATCATTTCAGTCTTTGTAGATGACACCAAGCTGTGCAGTGGAATAACGTCCTTACAGGATGTCTCCAACTTACAAGCCGACCTCAATGCACTGATTAATTGGGCAACTATGTGGCAAATGAGGTTTAATGTTTATAAATGTAAGGTTATGCACTTGGGGGCTAAGAATATTCATGCATCATACATACTAGGGGGGTACAACTGGGGGAATCAATGGTGGAGAAGGATCTGGGAGTTCTGGTAGATCACAAGCTTAATAATGGCATGCAATGCCAAGCTGCGGTTTCTAAAGTGAGCAAAATCCTCTCTTGTATTAAAAGAGGTATAGACTCCAGAGAGAGAGATATCATATTACCCCGGTACAAATTAGTAATACCTCATCTGGAATATGCAGTTCAATTTTGGCACTGATTCACAAAAAGAATATTGGGAAACTGGAGAAAGTGCAGAGAAGGGCAACTAAACTGATAAGAGGCATGGAGGACCTCAGCTATGAGGAAAGATTAGAAGAACTGAATTTATTCTCTCTTGAGAAGAGGAGATTAAGGGGGGATATGATCAACATGTATAAATACATCAGTGGTTCATATAGTGAACTCTGTGTAGTTATTCACCCTGAGGTCATCACAGAGGACAAGGGGGCAAACTTTATGTCTGGAGGAAAAGGGATTTAATGTCAAAATACAGAAAGGTTTCTTCACAGTAAGAGCTGTGAAAATATGGAATAGACTGCATCAAGAGTTGGTTCTGGCCAGCTCAGTAGATTGCTTTAAAAAAGGCCTGGATTATTTCCTAGATACACAGAATATAACTGGATACTAACATTTATAGGTAAAGTTGATCCAGGGAATATTCGCTGGCTGTATGAATCAAAATTTTTTTACCCTGCAGGAGCAAATCTTTGCTGGTTATTTTTGCCTTCCTCTGGATCAACTGCGGGATATTGCCATGTTGAACAAAATAATATTTTGTCTTTTTTACTTTCAGCCTAGTTAACTATGATACTGTATGATCAGGTAGGAATTTTTTCCCCTGCAGGAGCAAATTGGACCATGCTTTGCTGGGTTATTTTTGCCTTCCTCTGGATCAACTGTGGGTATAGGATTATAGCTTTTTTTTTTATGGTTGAACTAGATGGACTTTTGTCTTTTTTCAGCCAGATTAACTATGTACTGTAACTATGTAACAGTGGACAATTTAAAATCTATTTGGGACTCACAAAAAAATAAATAAATAACAGAATGCACTCTTACTGGTCTACCCAACCCATCCATCATATGCCCATTATGTCAAGAACAAGATATTTAATGATCATGTGGTTTCTCCATTTTAATAACACCCAGTGCCCTCCCAGAATATGGTAAACTTTTTAAATTCAGCCACTTCTAAATTTTTCAGTGAGAAATTCTACCAATTATGTATCCCAGAAAAAAAATCATCTGTGTGGATGAGTTGGTTATCCACTTCACTGCAACGCTGGGCATCAGCAGTTCATCCCTAATCAAATGACACAGGTGACAGGGAGGCTAAAAGGGCCTGATATGGGCTTAAACTCTACAAGTTACACGACAGAGCCACAGGGTACATGTATCGCCATACTCAGGAGGAGTAGCAGAATGCATTTTAGGATGTATTCTTGGTATGTACATGCTGTGTGTTAGAAAGATCTTAGAAATTGATAAGTTTCCGTGTGAAAAAAAAAAAAAGGGGTTTTTTTAAAATTTTCTTTATCGGAAGTCGCCACACATTTCCCAAAAACTTGTGGAAACAAATGACATGTGCAAAAGACTCATTATGCCTCATAGAACATACATTGGGGTGTGTTTTTCCAAAATGGGGTCATTTTGTGGCAAATACCATTGTCCTGGTGCTTTAGGGCCTTCAAAAATGTGATAGGTTGTCAGGAAATTAGATGTGTAAGAGGATTTTGCCCCTAGAATGCCTGAAGGTGCTGTTTGGATGTTGCGCCTCTCTATGTGGCTAGGCTTTGAAGGGTCTCACACATGTGGTATCGCCATACTTAGGAGTAGCAGGATGTATTTTGGGTGCAATTGCAAGTATGCGTATACCGTATGTGAGAAAAAAACTAGTTAATATGACATTTTTGTGGAAAAAAAAAAATAAATTTTTGTCATTTTCCAAAGGATTGTTGAAATTTTTTTCCCACATTTCTTTCCTCATGCTGTGACAGGCACCTGTATTTACCCGGCGATCTGCTGTGTCATTGGGAACAGCTGATCACATGGTAAAAGGCCGCTGTGATTGGCCATTTACCGTATCACGTGATCAGCTGTGTCCTTAGGACACAGCGATCATCGGCGGCGCTGGGTGCGCACCCTGGAATGACATCCAGGGACGTCGTCCCAGAAGTAGACAACCGCGCTGTAGCTGTCTTTCGGTTATAGCGCGGTAGAGAAGAGGTTAGTAACATTTTGGATTGACTAAAAGCACTGTGGCTGTTAAATATTGACATTAATCCCCAAAAATACAACTTGCCTAATAATTGTGCACACAGTGTATTTCACTGATTTCCGCATAGACAATTTAGCAAATGTCTACTGTCTATGTCCTCGTATGCCATTTTCCCTCATTCTGACAACAACTAATTTTGCTTTGACTACAAACCAATATGGCACAAGCTGGAATTCCCTTTTAAATGACATTTAAAGCCATCTCACCCAGCTAATCTGGTCATTTCACGTCCAGCTAGCACAATCCGGCCAAGGGCCTGAGACATCCTCAGCAGCATCCTTCCACTCTGGTAGTAGTCCTGTCAAAGATGGAAGAACTATTAGGGCTGGGTATTTTAAACTGGTAGTGACATGTCAGTTACAGGAGACAGTCTCACCTCCAAAAGCTCTGCATGACTACTGTTCAAATGACGAGGGTGATTTGGTGTAAGGAACGGACGGCTGACAACTAAATAACCAACCACTGTAGCAAGATCTGCAATTAGTAGGAATATAAAAGAGTAGTTACAAGAAAAATTACAATTAACTCTCAATATACATTCTTCATTCAAACTAAATATTGATTTAAATGATGATGAAGTATATACATAGTGAATTTTATAAACTTCAGAGAAAAAAAAAAGAATTTTAGATCTGGAAAAAACTGAATCTGGATAAATTTACTGCTAACTTGAATCACAGATTCTACACAATATATAGTATGCTGACAGAAAATGACATTACATTTTTACCCACTTGATCACTGTGATCCAGGTGTATCAAAGTTTCATTAGTAAAAACCAGAGTAATTTCATATTCTATTCAGTACCCGAAAATCTCATATAGATGACTTACACTTGGCAATAATGCTGTCTACAAAGCCCATGGAAAATCGGAACAAAATGAAAGTATGTAAGTGCTCCACCTGGAATAGCAGAAAAAAAAAATAATGAGTAAACTTATTATACATTTACTGAAACCTGTAAAATTTTAGAACTCTTATCACTAGCAACTTATCAAAACAGAACTGCAGGCACTTTTTTCCATTTTTTTTATCGAGCAAGGGAGGGATTTATAATCCCTGTCAAATGGTTTGGTTTTTTGGGGGGTTTTTTTTGCCATTTGTGTCCCATTTTTGCCTTAAAGTGTTACTAAACCCACAACAATAAAATCAGTCTGTATGTGCAGTAAAGCATGCTTGTTATACTCACTGTGGAACCTAAGGGGTTAATCCTCTGCATTGTGTAAAAAGGCTGTTTCATCCTTTTTGTGCCCCTCCGCTTGTTGAAATGACCACCTGATACAAACTGAACCCATGGTAACTTGGCACATGCTCAGTTTGGTGTGTATTGCTAGAGAGGTTTTTTTTTTTCCCTCTTGGGAGGGTGCACGCGATCAGCACAGGGCCAAATCAGCACTGTCCAGACAGAGGGTCAGAGGTTTCACATCCTCCTAGAGCAGAAAGAAAACTTCTACAAGCTTTAACCAGTGCACTACTGAAGTCATGAGACTGCTCTAACTGCTGATGAGAAAAGGTATTTAGCAGTTTATATTTACTAAAATAATTGCATTTCCATGTTGTGTGTACTGTGGGAGACCAAGCATAGTGAATGCAGAGTCCTGGGTTTAGTATCACTCTAACTTTGTGTCGCATAGCCAAAAACAGGAAGTGGGAGGAAATCCCTCCAAAGTGAGGGAAATCCCTGGCAGTCACCAGGGTCATCAGAACGAATGTCCAATCAGAATAGGGAGTGTGAATGTCCTCATTTCCCCTCCATTTGTATCCTAGTGACCACTCAAATGGAACAGAGAGAGTGAATCTTCTTAATGAAGACATAGATAGAAAGAAAAAGATGACCATATACCAAGACATAACATTATTTTTGCACAGAAGCATATAAGACAGCTGAGAATAGAGCATGTACAGTGGATATAAAAAGTCTACACACCCCTTTTAAAATGTCAGGTTTCTGTCAAGTAAAAAATATAAATAATTTCAGAACTTTTTCCACCTTTAATGTAACCTATAAACTGTACAACTCAGTTGAACAACAAACAGAAATCTTTTAGGTGGAGGGAAGTAAAAATAAAAAACTAAAATAATATGGTTGCATAAGTGTGCACACCCTTAAACGAATACTTTGTTGAAGCACCTTTTTGATTTTATTCCAGCACTCAGTCTTTTTGGGTATGAGTTTATCAGCATGGCACATCTTGACTTGGCAATATTTGCCCACTCCAAATCTGTCAGCTTGTGAGGGCATCTCCTGTGCACAACCCTCTTCAGATCATCCCACAGATTTTCGATTGGATTCAGGTCTGGGCTTTGGCTGGGCCATTCCAAAACGTTAATCTTCTTCTGGTGAAGCCATTCCTTTGTTGATTTGCATCGCTGTCATGCTAAAAGATGTTCAGCTTTCTAGCAGAAGCCTAAAGATTGTGTGCCAATATTGACTGGTATTTAGAACTGTTCATAATTCCCTCTACCTTGACTAAGACCGCAGTTCCAGCTGAAGAAAAACAGCCCCAAAGCACGATGCTGCCACCACCATGCTTCACTGTGCGTATGGTGTTCTTTTGGTGATGTGCAGTGTGTTGTTTTTGCACCAAACATCTCTTTTGGAATTATGGACAAAAAGTTCAACCTTGGTTTCATCAAACCATAACACATTTTCCCACATGCTTTTAGGAGACTGTAGGTGTGTTTTTGCAAAATTTAGCCGGGCTTGAATGTTTTTCTTCATAAGAAAAGGCTTCCGTCTTGCCACTCTATCCCACAGTCCAGACATATGATGAATACGGGAGATTGTTGTCACATGTACCACACAACTAATACTTGCCAGATATTCCTGCAGCTCATTTAATGTTGCTGTAGGCCTCTTGACAGCCTCCCACACCAGTTTTCTTCTCGTCTTTTCATCTATTTTGGAGGGATGTCCAGTTCTTGGTAATGTCATTCTTGTGCCATATTTTCTCCACTTGATGACTGTCTTCACTGTGTTCCATGGTATTTATAATGCCTTGGAAATTCTTTTGTACCCTTCTCCAAACAATGAGATCCCTCTGATGCTATGGAAGCTCTCTGCGGACCATGGCTTTTGTTGTAGGATGCGACTAAGAAAATGTCAGGAAAGACCTACTAGAACAGCTGAACTTTATTTGGGGTTAATGAGAGGCACTTTATACGATGGCAGGTGTGTACTGACTTCTATTTAACATGATTTGGAATGTGATTGCTTAATTCTGAACACAGCTACATCTCCAGTTATAAGAGGGTGTGCACACTTATGCAACCACATTATTTTAGTTAATGTTTACTCCCCCCCCCTAAAAAATTTCAGTTTGTTTTTCAATGGAGTTGTACAGTTTTTAGTTCACATTAAAGGTGGAACAAGTTCTGAAATTATTTATCTTTTTCTCATTTTTTTACATCACAGAAACCTGACATTTTAACAGGGGTGTGTAGACTTTTTATATCCACTGTATAGTATCACTGCATTTCCCTGCTGGGGAATCCATTCTTAGGAAAGATAACGTGAACCATACAGTGCCACACATATGTTGGTCCTTGGTAGCTATACTACTATATACACTGGAAAAAAACAGGGAAAGCTTGGGCTTAGGAGGTGTCCATGTTAAGGATAATTTATAAAACATGAATGTGCTAAAAAGGATTTGTATGGCTTGAGTACTTAATCAGAACTGGCTTTTCGTTTCTTATGTTTCACTTGTGTTCTTTGTCCAATTGTCCATATCTTTTAGTCCGAAGATGTATTATATGAGCAACTTCTTCTAGCCTGTCACACAAAACACAAGCCAATTTTAACTGCAAGATCAGATGCTGTATGGGTTGCTTGTCCCCACACTGCCTACTGTCATGGAAGATTACTAATAGAGTTGACTAATAACTACACATCACCATGGGCTTTCTCCTTCTGAATCTTAACACACCAATGATTCCCTGTTATGTATGACCTAATCTAAACAATGGAGGGAATGGAAATGAGACAGAGGCACTGATTGCAATGAAATCCAGTAAATGCCTCTGCATCCCAGATTTCCAACTCAGGCTGAGGCATAACAGTAAGGATAGGGGTTAACTACTGGACTACTAACCCAGGGAGTGAGTGCACTTGGTGGTAGGTAAGTATTCAGCACAGATATGTTTAGTTGTTTCCTATTGTTTTATTTTTTCAACAGCAGGCAGCGGGGGGGGGGGGGGGGGGGGGAGGACTAAATGGGTTTCTGATTTCAGGTCCACTTTAAACCCAACAAAAAACCTTCAGTACACTAGAAGTGTTCTACAGTGTCTCAATCATTGTTTTATAGGCACCAGAGCCTTAAACAGACTATTACGGTTTACCATATAATGAGTATGTCAAAATGATCAACTACTGCTCCAATTCTGATATGCAAAATATATTCAGGGCATATCTAAAAGTGTCTCTTACCAGTTTGTTAAAAGCAGAGTGAATGGTCAATTTTTCCCTTTTGTTTCCATTGTAGAAGGCAATTTCTTCACTAAAATGGGAAAAAAAAAAAAAAAAAAAAGCATTTACAATAGAAGGATCCACTTTTATTTCTACTTGTGACTTGGCAATGACCATTGCTACAAAGCACAAAGTAAATGAAAAAAAACACATTAACTAAATATCTCTAGGAACACCATCTTTACAGCACAGTGGTAATTGTGCATGGGACTTATTACCTCATTGTCACTCTTATTTATTTATTTCAGGTACTTATATAGCGCTGTCAATTTACGCAGCACTTTACATATATATTGTACATTCACATCAGTCCCTAACCCTCAAGGGGCGTACAGTCTAAGGTCCCTAACTCACATTTATACATACACATACTAGGGACATTTTAAACAGGAACCAATTAACCTACCAGCATGTGTTTGGAGTGTGGGAAAGGAAACCCACGCAGGCACAGGGAGAACATGCAAACTCCAGGCAGGTGGTGCCGTGGCTGGGATTCGAACCAACGACCCTAGTACTGCCAGGCAAAAGTGCTAACCATTTAGCCACTGTGCTGCCCCTCTGTGCTACTCTTGCAGTCACAAAGAAAGAGAATGTGGATGTCTGAGATAATTTCATGCAGCTGTTGCAAAAATTGTTTCCAATTTTACCCTTTCCAATGGTGTATTCTCTTACAGCTCAAATGTAGTTTATCACAGATAATTTAGTTAAACCGATTGTGCCATTTGATATGTCTTACTATGAAATGTTCTGCATTGTGGGCAGGATCAGTTTCAGCCCTAAACAATTGAATAGTTAATCAACATAAGTTCCAAAAAGAAATATATGCCACACAGATACAGTCTTTGCTGAACATTTAGGACCAGGTTAACTGAACCTTTCCAAGTGGTCCTGGGCACAGTTTGAAGCACTCACACTACACAAACAAACCTTGGAGTTGAGCTGTGCCTGGGACCTTTTTAGAGTACCAGTGTGAGTATACCCTTAATGTCCATGAACAACATCGCTTGTGACAGCTGGGGCAGTGACAGGTACTCTTCAATGAGAGATCTGGGGTCTATTAGACCCCAATTCCTCCTATGCCCTACAAAGCAGTGAATCAAACCAAGATTGGTTTGACTGGCTGCTATGCTGGCCGATAACACCCAGTAACACACAGCCAAAACCAAAGTGACAAGATTCTCGTTGCTTCTGGCTTCTTTTGTCACAGAGAGGATGGAGAACGGATGTTCCCCCCTGTCCTGTTAGAAGCTGGCCCTAGAGTCTGCAGTGGTCCTGGGCTCCTCTTTGGTGGTGGGCAGAGGCAGCCCCTTCGATTACTTTTCCCAGAAAGCCCGTTGCAGGCTGAAACTTTAAAGGGGGAAGTAAAAGTAAGGGAAACCCTACTTGCCTTCCTTTTACACCCCCACTCCACTCCGTTTTCCTCTGACCAGCAGTATAAGATCCTTCATGGGCAATAAAGTTCAATTAAGCAGAAATATTTTGTGGCACATGGAGCAAACTGCTAGCCTATTAAACATAATGAGTTGAAAACGTTGCCAAGCAGCAGACAGCAGATTGGATTACCTGTTGGTAATGAGCCTTGAGTTGACATATCTGTATTCACCTTCGTACCTCTGCTCGGTAATCGTCATTTTACCAATCGGCCTCCTGAGGCGTGTAAGGAAAAGTCCTGAGACAAGCAGATAAGCCATCATGCTTGCTGGACCCTGAGGGAGCACAGCACCACTAACTTATTATGATAGCATCATTAAAATGGTAATTGCATGTAAAAAAAAAAACACATAATTATGATAGTCCTTGCCTGAGTCACATTACCTGAGCTCCAATTGCACTTGTCAACTTGAAAATATACAGGACGATGTCCAAAAATGGCTACAATAAAGAAATAAACAAAACTGAATACTTATACACAACTTATACATAATTTAAAGATGTCAGTTAAAGAACATATTTATCTAAAAAATTTCACAAAACACACATGAAAATATCTAATGGATGGATACTTGTGCAGTACATTAGCATACCTTTCCCTTTTATAGAAAGGAAATGGCAAAGCATGCTCACTTTAAAACATTATGCTTAGGTAATGCAGAGTTTAGAATAAATAATCACATATAACCGCTCACACTTCCTTACAGAACCACAAATAAAGTATAACTAAAGGCAAAACCTTTTTTTTAGTTTGAAAACTGGAGGGGGATTAGAACACCTGTCAGTTTCTATTGCTGTTTGTGCCTCCGATAAGGAGCTTCACCCTATTTGCCCTGTTTATGATTACCATTGAAAGTCAAGGTAAAGAAAATCCCAAATTTTGAGTTGTCCCCAGAAATAGAAGAGAGAATAAATCTTCCAATGGGGACACTAGTTCTGGTGACATGGTGTCCCCAAGGAATTCCCTTAATTTGCAGGGATTTCCTCTCACTTCCTATTTGTCTATCGGACAGGAAGTGAAAGAAATCTCAGAAACGGGTCACAGATGGAAGAAAAAAAAAAAAAATCTGACAGGGGTTATAACCCCCCCCCTTCCTGTATCCAAAATGAAAAAAAAAAAAGTTTTGCCTATAGTTCTTTAATGAACGAAACTGTTAGGTTGGCCATGGAAAGACAGGTATCCATCTGTTGAACTTCATATCCCCAAAATGCTAAAAACGTCTGTATTATTGATAAGTCTTCAAATATATCAAGCTTCACTGGTATCAAGGGAAATCCACTAATCCTTGCAAGTGCTGTATATATCCAGAGGTCATAGAAGCATGCAAAATAAAACACAGAAAGAGCGCACTGGTTTGTGCTGATAAAAACATCTTTTCATAAATGAAAATGACAAAAATTGTACTTATAATAAAGTGACTTGTTCAAAGCATATCACAGATAAAACTCCCTCCCTCCAATTAAACACCAGGACAGAAGCGGCATGCTTTATGTACTGACTATGTGTAAAGGGCCCGTTATGGACTCCTGCTCTAATGTTTTTGCTCACTGAGGACCCTTTATTATTGCTGTGATATGATATCCTGTAACATTTGGCAAATGACTATGTAATGTTACTTCTGCTGAAAATGAAATAAAAGTCTACATTGCAAAAGAAAAGAGAAATGGCACTCAACTGAGCTATGCAGTGTGGTAGGACCAGAGCATGTAAACAAAACCAGTGAAGGCTACCCATCAAGAGTGTTCTTAGTATTTGTATTGAGTCCTTGTAATATTAATTTTTAAGTCCTGGTGTTATGTTGGAGGGAGTTTTACCCAGTACACTCTAAACAAGCCACTTTAAGTACAATTTTATCATTTTCGTGTTTTTACCCGCAGAATCCAGGGCGCTCTCGTCTGTGTTTCTATATTCAAGTGTATTTTTCCCCTCTACAAAGCAATGGCATGCACAAATTGAAAGAACATTTCCTGTTCTATGTAGAAATAGGGAAAGTCTCATGTAGTAACTGATAATGATAATATAGAAACACGGCACCATAGTTAGAGGATGTTTGTATGCAATGCTCAAGTTGCATCACTTGTTTTTATTGGGCCATTATTAGGTGCACTGGGTTTCTATTTACAAGTAAAATCAACGGCATAAAGAGCCAACATGAAAAATAAGCCTATGGCTATAAATAAATGTTAAACTATTAGATGACTTACATAATAAGGAGTGCATTATTGCCCTTACAAGCAAGCACATATATTAAATGTATAATGCTCAAAATGACAATATCTAATCACTTATCGGTCTCCAAGCATTTCATCTGGCAGTTGACTTTTCTTTGGTATTATGCACAGCTTAAAAGGAAATACCTAGTAAAACTGGAAGCAATGTTCCCGCTATTAAGATTTTAAAGGACCAGTCTTTTACACATCTTCCTGCACACCAGCGAGCGGGTGGACACGATGTACAAAAAGTGTAAGATATAGTGCAGCGCTAAAAAAATGAATAATCATATAGTTCAATAAATGTTCATAAAATCTTGTGCATAATCATGAAGAGCTTCCTCTTTTGAAATACACGGATGCCAAAAAATCATATAGCAGAAATGCGCACTCACCGACCGCGCATTAAAAATGCTCATATAAGTGACCATCAACCCAAATGGCTGGCAGCAGGTGGTACATCCCTCGGGGGTAAAGCATCAGCCTTGGGTGAAGTAATACACAGCAGGGCTCATGGATGATGGATGAACTGACAGACTGCTGTTGTGGATCTGAAACCCTCAATAGAGGGTCTGTGTCCCAATAAGCCCAAACCTCTGTACTAAGCAGATACCATTCTCAGTAAAATGATCTGTCAGAATGCGGTCATGTAGTGAGCCACATCACGGCACCCTGACATTCTGTGGTCTGTGGGACACAGACCCTCTATTGAGGGTTTCAGAACCACAACAGCAGTCTGTCAGTTCATCCATCATCCAGAGGAGGGAAGCCATTGATCTAGGTTGTCCACTCGCTCTTGAGGAGATTTCTGAGCCCTGCTGTGTATTACTTCACCCAAGGCTGATGCTTTACCCCCGAGGGATGTACCACCTGCTGCCAGCCATTCGGGTTGATGTTCATTTATATGCGCATTTTTAATGCACGGTCGGTGAGTGCGCATTTCTGCTATATGATTTTTTGGCATCAGTGTATTTCAAAAGAGGAAGCTCTTCATGATTATGCACAAGATTTTATGAACATTTATTGAACTATATGATTATTTATTCATTTTTTAGCGCTACACTATATCTTACAGTTTGTCTTGAGAGGTCATTGTGATTCCTTTGAATGTTCTAGCTGCTGGTTTTATGAGCGCTCGCTTGCATTTTCTTAATGATGTACAAAAAGTCTGTAAGATAGGACTCCTAGGAAATGTCAGACGGTATGTAATGGCTGCATTCAGCTGTGAATGAGCTGGGCACAAGAAGCAGCTCTGTTATAAATAATACTTTAATGCTCTCAGCAGGATGCAGGCTGCCTATCCTATCCTAGTTTTTTCCCCTAAATCTGCACTTGAAGGAGCGATACAAAGAGCATTCATCCTCTTTGGCCCCTCCTGCTAACATGATCTAACCTAACCCACTCCTCAACTTTACAGATGCATACCTTGATCCCACAGATATAGTTCTGCTGTTTGTATACATTCAGCACTACAAGTCTTCATTGTACTGGCTGCACCTATGCATTACAGCCCTGCAGACTGCTATGGGACAATCTCGGAATGTCTCCAGCCTGATAACCAGCCCCATAGCAGTCTGCAGAGCACTAATGCGCAGGCATGGCCAAATCATGTAAGGAAGCTGATGAAGAAAAAAAATGGAAGCCGCCAAGGACTAGGGAGAGCCATATCAGCTCAGCACTGGAGAGCTCCGTTTGTAGGTAAGTCAGTCATACTGCACTAGTATGCAGTGCATATTAGTACATTTTACTGCAGGGGGGCCATTTTCTGCTATTAGGAAGAATACATTACTACTGCTTTAACCACTTCAAGTCCGGACACTTTTACCCCCTTCCTGTCCAGGCCAATTTTCAGCTTTCAGCGTCATCACACTTTGAATGACAATTGCGCGGTCATGCAACACTGTACCCATATGAATTTTTTAGCATTTTTTTGAGACAGATAAAGCTTTATTTTCGTGGTATTTAAAAAGTGTCTAAAATTTTTCAAATAAATAATATTTCATCATAAATCTTGATCAAAATGTATTCCGTTCTCTTTTTAGTAAAAAAAACAAAACAAAAAAAACCCCAAATTAGTTTAACCCAAAACTGTCACCCTAGCAGTACAGTGTCACCACGGTGACACTGTACTACTTGTGGGGGGTGATGAAGATTTTTTTTTTTTTTTTTTTTTTACACTGATTGCTTTTACAGCCATAAAGGCTGTAAAAGCAATCAGTTCTCCTTCTCTCTGGCTGCATTCTTGCAGCCACTGAGAACTACTGTGTGAGCTGTGATTGGTCACAGCTTGTCACATGGTACAAGGCTATTGTGAATAGCCTTGTACCATGTGACCTCTGTGATCATTCACAGATTTCACACGTAGTAAGCAATGATGTCAGAAGTAACTATTCTGCATATGATCACTGATTGGCCAATCAGTGATCACATGATCGGGACCTCACAGAGAGGCCCCACACGCCGATCGGTGTTCCACTGTGTCCGGAGGACACAACGGGCACCAGATCGCAGGGTTGCATTCTCCCAGGGAGCGTGCACAAGCAGGGGGTGGGGAGGCAGTTTATAAAAAAGGCCACCCGACCCTGCACTGCCACCATCCGGCCATTTATATACAACAACCTGACGGGAGGTGGTTAAGTAAAGCAGCACAACAAGCAATAACAATAGGCAAAGTGTCATAACTCATTATCAATCTATTCGCTTTCAGTTTACTTTTATGAAAACCATTTCCATTTGGATACTGTGAAATAGTGCTTTTTAATTTACAGAATAATGCTTCATACAGTCAGGTCCATAAATATTGGGACATAGACACAATTCTAACATTTTTGGCTCTATACACCACCACAATTGATTTGAAATGAAAAAAATCAAGATGTGCTTTAACTGCAGACTGTCAGCTTTAATTTGAGGGTATTTACATCTAAATCAGGTGAACGGTGTAGGAATTACAACAGTTTGCATATGTGCCTCCCACTTGTTAAGGGACCAAAAGTAATGGAACAATTGGCTTCTCAGCTGTTCCATGGCCAGGTGTGTGTTATTCCCTCATTATCCCAATTACAATGAGCAGATAAAAGGTCCAGAGTTAATTTCAAGTGTGCTATTTTCATTTGGAATCTGTTGCTGTCAACTCTCAAGATCAGATCCAAAGAGCTGTCACTATCAGTGAAGCAAGCCATCATTACGCTGAAAAAAACAAACCCATCAGAGAGAGAGCAAAAACATTAGGCGTGGCCAAAACAACTGTTTGGAACATTCTTAAAAAGAAGGAACGCACTGGTGAGCTCAGCAACACCAAAAGACCCGGAAGACCATGGAAAACAACTGTGGTGGATGACCGAAGAATTCTTTCCCTGGTGAAGAAAACACCCTTCACAACAGTTGGCCAGATCAAGAACACTCTCCAGGATGTAGGTGTATGTGTGTCAAAGTCAACAATCAAGAGAAGACTTCACCAGAGGGAATACAGAGGGTTCACGGCACAAGATGTAAACCATTGGTGAGCCTCAAAAACAGGAAGGCCAGATAAGAGTTTGCCAAACACATCTAAAAAAGCCTTCACAGTTCTGGAACAACATCCTATGGGCAGATGAGACCAAGATCAACTTGTACCAGAGTGATGGGAAGAGAAGAGTATGGAGAAGGAAAGGAACTGCTCATGATCCTAAGCATACCACCTCATCAGTGAAGCATGGTGGTGGTAGTGTCATGGCGTGGGCATGTATGGCTGCCAATGGAACTGGTTCTCTTGTATTTATTGATGATGTGACTGCTGACAAAAGCAGCAGGATGAATTCTGAAGTGTTTTGGGCAATATTATCTGCTCATATTCAGCCAAATGCTTCAGAACTCATTGGACGCCGCTTCACAGTGCAGATGGACAATGACCCAAAGCATACTGCAAAAGCAACCAAAGAGTTTTTTAAGAGAAAGAAGTGGAATGTTATGCAATGGCCAAGTCAATCACCTGACCTGAATCCGATCGAGCATGCATTTCACTTGCTGAAGACAAAACTGAAGGGAAAATGCCCCAAGAACAAGCAGGAACTGAAGACAGTTGCAGTAGAGGCCTGGCAGAGTATCACCAGGGATGAAACCCAGCGCCTGGTGATGTCTATGCGTTCCAGACTTCAGGCTGTAATTGACTGCAAAGGATTTGCAACCAAGTATTAAAAAGTGAAAGTTTGATTTATGATTATTATTCTGTCCCATTACTTTTGATCCCTTAACAAGTGGGAGGCACATATGCAAACTGTTGTAATTCCTACACGGTTCACCTGACTTGGATGTAAATACCCTCAAATTAAAGCTGACAGTCTGCAGTTAAAGAACAGTTAAAGTTATTAGAAACAAAAAAAAAAAAAAGCGATAAAATGCAGCTGACATTAACAGGCCATAAGCAGATGCCGAGAGGAGGCTGTAAACAATATGAAAAGATCTAGGCCAGAGAACACAGATTAGAACCACTGACAGATCACACTGCATAATGTCAATTGAAAAAGCAGTTTTATACTTTGTGTGATTTGTCACATGACCATCATATTGCTATCTTTTGCAGTTAACATGTTTACTGAATGATTAATGTGTACTAATGATTACGGACTATGAAAAGCCAATATGATGGCGTGTCTATATAACTTGTCAAATCCTTTTTCTGGCAGCAAGGTATGGCCATATGTGTGTGCACAAATCTTTTTGCTGCAGACCAGTTGTTCCTGGTTAAAAACATAGGCAGCTGTTTAACCGCTTCCCTTCCGCCCTATAGCAGAAATACTGCTACAGGGTGGCAGGGGTGCGCAAAATCACATATATACGTGAATTAACATCTCTGGGTAGGGGGCGCACGTGAGCTGTGCATGAGCCCTACCCGCGCCGCCATTGGTGGCCTTGGCTGTCAATCACCGTGTCCTGGCCGGTGATTCTCCACCGACACCCGGCGATCACAGAGTATCACAGACGGGGAAGAAACCTGTATGTAAACAATACAGACCTCTCCCCTGCCAGCACATGCACACTGCTTTGTATGGCTCTGCATATCAGAGCCATACAAAGCAGCGTACTTACAGTGGAAAGCAAACACACAAGCACACAGTGAAACAGCACCACAGTTAACCCTTTGATCGCCCCAAATGTTAACCCCTTCCTGCTCAGTATCATTAGTACAGTGTCAGTGCTTTTTATTAGCACTGATCACTGTATTGGTGTCACTGGGGATGTCAGTGACAGTTTGTCAGTCCCCCCCCCCAGTGTCAAAATACCCGCTGCAGTCCCACTATAAGTCGCTGATCGCCGCCATTACTAGTATAAAAAAAAAAAATTTAAAAATTAAAATTCCAGTATACATACCGCCATTTGTAGACACTATAAATTTTTACGTAAACCAATTAATTTACACGTATTGGGATTTTTTTTTTTTTTTTTTAGCAAAGACATGTAGCAGAATACATTTTGGCCTAAATTTATAACGCAATTTGATCTTTAAAATTTTTTTACTGGACATGTTTAATAGCAAAAAGACAAAAATATATTTTTTTCTTCTCAAAATTGGCGGTCTTTTTCTTTTTTATATTAAAATAAAAAACGCAGAGGTGATCAAATATCACCGAAAGAAAGTTCTATTTGTGGGGAAAAAAAGGACGTAAATTTCATTTGAGTGCAGCGTTGCATGCGGGCGCAATTGTCAGTTAAAGTAACGCAGCCACGTATCGCAAAAGATGGCCTGGTCAGGAAGAGGGGTAGCTCCTCTGGAAGGCAAGTGGTTAAAGACAGGACCATCCACACTATATGAAGTTGAACAAACAACCTTTCTGACCGAAGAAAACGTTTTAGAGCATAACTGGATGTACTCAGAGCCAGAAGGCTGTAAACGGTATTGGTTAAAGTAGGACTTCTCTTATTTGTTACAGAAGTGCTGAAAGTATAAATGTTTAATTTTATAGTTATAGTTTTGTTATACTTTAACCACCTCCCGCCCGCCATATAGTCCAATGACGGGCGCAAGGTGGTTTTCTCGTTCTGGGAGATGCGCGGCGATGTGCTGTGTCCCTCGGTGACAGCGGATCACTGATCATACGGAAAGAGCCGAAGAGGTCGGCTCGGTCATGTGATCAGCTGTGTCCAATCACAGCTGATCACATGTAAACAGGGAAATGCCGGTTATCGGCATTTCTCTCCTCACGAGCTGTCACGCTGACAGCTTGAGAGGAGTGGAGAGACGGTAATCGGCATTCCGCGGAGGGGACATGTACAATGATTATCAGGGCACTGATGATCAGTGTGCCCTAATGATCAGTGTGGCCCCAGAAGTGCCACCTGTCAGTGTCCATCAGTGCCAGCTGTCAGTGCTGAACAGTGCCACATGCCAGTGCCCATCAGTGCCACACCAATGCCACATATCAGTGCCTACCAGTGCACATCAATGCCACATATCAGTACCCATCTGAGCTGCCTTTCAGTGTCACCCATCAGTGCCAGTCAGTGCCACCTATCAGTGCCGCCTATCAGTGCCAGTCAGTGCCGCCTATCAGTGCCCATCAGTGATGCCTGTCAATGCCCATCAGTGCCACCTACCAGTGCCTCCTCATCAGTGCCACCTATCAGTGGAGCCTATCAGTGCCCACTACTGCAGCCTCATTATCGCACATCAGCGAAGGAGAAAAATCACTTATTTACAAAATTTTACAACAAAAACTAAGAAAAAAACTTTTTTTTTCAAAATGTTCAGCGGTTTTTGGTTTAAGAAAAAATAAAAAACCCAGAGGTGATTAAATACCACCAAAAGAAAGCTCTGTCACAAAAAAATGATAAAACTTTCATATAGGTACAGTGTTGCATGACCGCGCAATTGTCATTCAAAGTGTGACAGCGCTGAAAGCTGGAAATTGGCCTGGGCAGGAAGGGGGTATAAGTGCCCTGTAGGCAAGCGGTTAAAGCAGTCCTATGTGCACAAACATGTAGCAAGCTCTATAATGGGCACCTGCACATCTGCTCCATGTCTTGTAGATTTCCTGTTATACAAGTGACCAGCTTCCATAGTTATTCAGTTTAGCACCCATCTTACCCTCTCAACAATGGTAATTATAATACACAAGGTTTCCCAAACATATATCAAGCATAACCTTTACTATGTTTATGTACAATCCATTCTAGCAAACACTGCACGACGCACACTGCTCAAAGTTACATTGAGCTATATTGTGTACTACATTAGTATAAATAAGTAGCAACTTGACGCCATAGAACTAAGAACTTCCAAAGAAGCTGAACAAAGTCTTCAGACAGAAATTGGCACTGCAGAGGCTGGATTGGATAATAAAGATGATGTGGCCCTCTTAGGATAGGAGACTTTTTTAGTGGGCGGGACTAGTGATTAGATCCCTATACATAAAGGGGAAGTTCATACTAGTTTATGCATCAGCTAGTACTATGACATCCACTTGAACCAGAGGAGTTCCATTGACTGCCAAACCTTTTGGTACCTGGGTTACTTACAATGCTGTTATTTTTTTTGTTAGTTTATATATAAAGTGCTGTGGATAACGCACTAGGTGTTTGCGCCCTTTGTTTCATTTTGTTTAACGTACTACATTAGTACCTGGCCATGAAGTGTGTATATTCTTCACAATTTTGTATCATAAACATATCATATAAGCAGCAGTACACATTCCACACTGTGGAGAGCACTGAAAACCAACTGACCATTACTAGCATCAAAGCATGGTCTGAAGAAAGCAAACGTTTCCTGGGTCTTAATCAGGCTAAATTACTGAAAAGAAAAAATAGGTTTTTGGATGTGAACAAAATCTCAAAAGAAAACAAAAAGGATAAAGCCACCTTGCTTAGATTGGAATACAAATCCACTACACTGTTGCAGAACTTTTCAACATCTTGTGTAAGCAGCTGATCAGCATTTGCTATGCGGTTGTCCAGGTTTCCCATCTTGTAATAGGTAAATGATCTAAAACAGAAAAGAGTGACAGATAATAAAAAACAACTGCACAGCAAATGAAAATCCTGTACTGGTTTCATACAAGTCAAATCATAATTATGTCATAGCTTTACAGACACTAACAGATAGATTTTGTAAATCCATAAAAAAAAAAAAAAAAAAAAAAAACAACATACAAAGCCATGCAAATGAAAGGTTTTATTATTAAAACATGGGAGCCTGTTATGAAGCAATATTCACAGGTGGGAAATCTCTGATAGAAGCCACCAATCTGAGGCCCGCACCTAATGCTATTTAAGATCAAAAAGTAGAACCTATTCAGCCTTACATGAACTAAAAGCACCTGAAGCAAACTGCAAATGCCATTCAGCATTTCTCTAAGGTTTCCTTGCACAGGTAATTTGCCACATCACAAATTACCCTAAGTGACTAAAGAAAAAGGTTAGTTGCAGGGGAGGACTGACAACTCATGGGGTCCCTGGGCAATAGGAGATCATGGGGCCCCTGTGTCCTCGCCCACACCTAAAAAAGCCAATGAAAGGTACCAGGGGCATCTCATGGGGGCCCCCTACTGACCCCGGGCAGTGCCCGAGTGCTCGAATGGTCAGTCCGCCCCTGGTTAAATGTAAAGAAGAAAAGTATACAGTATGCTTACCTCTCCCTCCCGCTAAACATTGCCTGACCAAAGATTGTTCAAAAACAATACTTCCAGGAGTACCACCAACCCCTTTATTACTAATGTGTTTTGTAGTGAAGCAGAGGTTGGCAGAAGGAACCACTGAGTGCAATGGTGGACCAAAAGATCGAAACTCCTAGAAGTTTTGGTTTATGAAGTGTCTTTAGGCCGCGACTGAAAAGAAACCTGAGAGAAGAGAAATAGGGGTGTGAAAGTACACAAGCCTGCATGTCAGCTGGGAAACTAGCCTCTTACATATTTCTAGCAGCACAGGGGTCTGTAAAAAAAAATCTAATGTGCCTCTACATCTAAACTGAACCACAGACATTAGGGGGTTGATTTACTAAAACTGGAGTGTGCAAAATCTGGTGCAGCTGTGCATGGTAGCAAGCAGCTTCTAAATTCAGAGTGTTCAATAAAAGAGATTCTAAAGGTTCATTTTATTTATTTATTTATTTTTTTTTCAAATAACAAACATGTCTATACTTGTGTGCAGTGGTTTTGAACAGAACAGCCTAGATCCTCCTCTCTTCTCAGGTCCCCTGCAGGCTCTCCTGCCTCTTCCTGTTTGTCGGGTGTCCCCACAGCAAGCAGTGTGCTATGGGGGCACCCGCTGCTCCGTGTGTCCATTCACACACGGAACACGGCTCAACCCTGCCCCCTCTCTCTCTTCTCATTGGCTGACTGGCTCTCATTGATAGCCAATGGTTCCCGCTCGCTGTCTCAGCAAATGAGGAGGTAGAGACCTGGGACAGCCGAGGCTGACATTCACATTGCTGGATTGCGATGAGGCTCAGGTAAGTATTGAGGGGGCTGAGGGAGCAGCTGCAGACATAGAATGCATGAAGGTAAAAAACCTTCAGCCTTTACAACCACTTTAAGCTTTGACAAAAAAAAAAAAAAAAAGCAAAACCTGGAAGCAGATTCGTGCAGCAGGGCTGCACCAGATTTGCGCACTCCAGTTTTCGTAAATCAGCCCCTAGGTGGCCAACATCTACAAGGGATGAAGGATGCTAGAAGTGCATTTCTTATGCTCATATAGCTTCATTTATACTTTCATGCTCACTAGATAGCCTTTACCATTCTTCACTAGCCAAAATGCAACTTTTGTGAAGTTGTCTACTCTGCTTAACCCAACGGGACCTCTGTGTTGGGAAAGCAATTGCATTTCTTGAGGAACTATACCAAAGCCTACCATTCTTGGATGACAGCAATAATAAAAATTGTAGGACACAAGTATGAATATGACTGTTTGGATCTGATCATATAATGACTATGACCACTTAAAAAAATGCACCACTGCAGCCTAACAAAACAGTGTCAAAACTCAATATAGACAAAAAGTACTCACTTGAGATATTCATCATAGAGGTATTTAGTTAGTCTTTCCCGAAAACACAACTTTAGTTCATTGAGGCCAAATTTCAAAAAATTATTTACTAATGAGATCTGATAAACAAGAAAAATAATGTTAAAAAAGCTACAGTGTTTTACATTAAAAAATTAAAGAAATAAATGTATTGCCCATACCATTTTCCAAACAATAAAAAACACTTTTATAAACAAAACTGAATGTTGGCAATCAGGAACATTCCTGTACCAAAACAATCAGTAAGATATCCTTCTGCAAAGAACAGAAGCAAAACTTGTGACTATCATTAATATAGTCAGAGCCTGGAGCAAAGCAGCACCAAACATAATCCTTAATTATTTTAACAGCTCAGTTTGCTTACAAAAAATTACTTTGGGGGAAGAGAAAAAACCCAAACTTACGGCAGGCATGGCGGCGATAAAGTTGAATAGGTACCTCTTAAAATCTTTTCTGCTGCGACCAATGATAGCACTGCAAACCATCACATGCACATAGTGTTAATAGCATACACGTAATACATTTACTAGAATATGTAAATAGCATGCCTATGTAGAAAACATGTTGGAATTCTAATTTACAAAGAACAGATCAGGTAAAGTATTTAGAATCAACAGGCTGATTAGCTACAGTTGGAGGCACTCAAGGTACACTTTGATTTCTGGAACACAGATAAGTAAATGTGTTATTTAAAGCGCAATTTTAGTCAGAAAATTAAGTCCTGCTAGATCACTTCAGGCTGACCCCTTTTACAGGTACAGCTTTGTAAAACATTAAAAATAAGTGCCTAGACGGTTTAAAATCCAGTAACACACCGTCTCACCCTGCTCTGCACATGCTCAGCTGCTCTCTATTTTTAGGATCTGCTGACAACTTTAAGTGGAATTAAACCCTCCTATTCTTTACAGCCAAGGAAGCTGCTTCTGTTTGATCTGCAACTACCATGCTGCTGCACATGTGATCAGTTATTGCACCAACCATTTGATGGTTTATCGATTTTGTTGAGAATGCAATAAAATTGACAGTTAGCAATCCCAGCATTCCAAAAATGTAACTGTTTTCTGAAGACAAATAAATCGATGGGTTTAGTTCCACTTTATGATTTACTGTTGTTCAGTGGCTCTAGGCTTCAGCAAAATGGCAGCCTCCAGCAATAAGAAACGTTATTTTTATCAAAGTTGTTGTGGGTAAAGTAACTGTCACATTTTAAAAATTTACATCAAAAAGGTAGCCCTGCAAAGAAAAGGATTAAAGTTTATCCCTCTCACTGCTGGTTTCCCCTGTCTTCAGACCTGCGTCTGCTAAGAAATGTTCTTCATCTGACATTTCCCTGAATGTCAGAAGCCTGGTCTCCTCCTTCATTCTTGCTCCATTCTCTAGATTACTACATTCCTGGCTACAACTCCTACATCACTACAGGACATAGATGTACAGACCAGAACAGGTAACCAAGCATTTAACACACCCACAATGTACTAGATGCCGAAGATGTTTCAGCCTTCCTTTTACTATTTTTTTAAGCATTGGGGTACTGACTGTAATATAGGTGGAGTATGAATTTTCTTTAATAAAAGTGTGGCACAGGGTCCAGTTGTATTTTATCTTACTATCTATTACTCTATCCTATCCAAATGTACATTTTATCACCTTTAATTAAACCAAGTACACCTATGTAAATTCTAATATTTTATTGGTTGGAATTAGTTACAGCACTCTATGCTCCGTCATATGGTATTTATATATAAAATCTCAGTGATAACCCCTTTACGTTGGCAGAAGCCGACACTTTAAATGGGCAGTGATACCTGGGACTGGTAAAAGGGGCTCTGAATCTGAATGCAACACTGTGACTGACTGCATGATGCTGAAGTCATCAGGAGTCTGTCCTACTGGTTTCAGATCCTCAGTACTTGACTGTGAGTTGTCCATGACAGCTCAGCCACAGTCCCAGGGAGAGGCCCAGAACAGTGATGCATATACAGCTGAAACTCGAAAAATTAGAATATCGTGCAAAAGTTCATTTATTTCAGTAATGCAACTTAAAAGGTGAAACTAATATATGAGATAGACTCATTACATGCAAAGCAAGATAGTTCAAGCTGTGATTTGTCATAATTGTGATGATTATGGCTTACAGCTCATGAAAACCCCAAATCCACAATCTCAGAAAATTAGAATATTGTGAAAAGGTGCAATATTCTAGGCTCAAAGTGTCCCACTCTAATCAGCTAATTAAGCCATAACACCTGCAAAGGGTTCCTGAGCCTTTAAATGGTCTCTCAGTCTGGTTCAGTAGGAATCACAATCATGGGAAAGACTGCTGACCTGACAGTTGTGCAGAAAACCATCATTGACACCCTCCATAAGGAGGGAAAGCCTCAAAAGGTAATTTCAAAAGAAGTTGGATGTTCCCAAAGTGCTGTATCAAAGCACATTAAAAAAAAGTTATGTGGAAGGGAAAAGTGTGGAAGAAAAAGGTGCACAAGCAGCAGGGATGACCGCAGCCTGGAGAGGATTGTCAGGAAAAGGCCATTCAAAAGTGTTGGGGACTTTCACAAGGAGTGGACTGAGGCTGGAGTCAGTGCATCAAGATCCACCACACACAGATGGATCCTGGACATGGGCCTCAAATGTCGTATTCCTCCTGAACAACAAACAACATCAGAAGCGTCTTACCTGGGCTAAAGAACAACAGACCTGGTCTGTTGCTCAGTGGTCCAAAGTCCTCTTTTCTGATGAGAGCAACTTTTGCATCTCATTTGGAAAAAAAGGACCCAGAGTATGGAGGAAGAATGGAGAGGCACACACTGCAAGATGCTTGAAGTGCAGTGTGAAGTTTCCACAGTCTATGTTGATTTGGGCAGCCATGTCATCTGCTGGTGTTGGTCCACTGTGATTCATTAAGTCTAGGGTCAACGCAGCCGTCTACCAGGAGATTTTGGAGCACTTCATGCTTCCTTCCGCAGACAAGCTTTATGGGGATGCTGACTTCATTTTCCAGCAGGACTTGGCACCTGCCCACACTGCCAAAAGCACCAAAACCTGGTTCAATGACCATGGGATTACTGTGCTTGATTGGCCAGCAAACTTGCCTGACCTGAACCCCATAGAGAATCTATGGGGCATTGCTAAGAGAAAGATGAGAGACATGAGACCGAACAATGCAGAAGAGCTGAAGGCCGCTATTGAAGCATCCTGGTCTTCCATAACACCTCAGCAGTGCCACAGGCTGATAGCTTCCATGCCACGCCGCATTGAGGCAGTAATTGCTGCAAAAGGGTCCCAAACCAAGTATTGAGTACATATGCATGCTTATACTTTTCAGAGGTCCGATATTGTTCCATGTACAATCCTTGTTTTATTGATTGCATGTAATATTCTAATTTTCAGAGATTGTGGATTTGGGGTTTTCATGAGCTGTAAGCCATAATCATCACAATTATGACAAATCATGGCTTGAACTATCTTGCTTGGCATGTAATGAGTCTATCTCATATATTAGTTTCACCTTTTAAGTTGCATTACTGAAATAAATGAACTTTTGCACAATATTCTAATTTTTCGAGTTTCACCTATATGTGGTGACTGGGCATTAAGGCCTACACATACTGTATATGCATATAGCGGTAGTAAAGGGTTTAAGCTTTTTTATAAATTGCTTAGATTTAAAAATTATATTATATTCTATTTTAGGTTAAATAATGGTGTTTTCAGACATACATTTTCTCAGCAAAATTTAAAATTTGTGGGGGGTGCAAAAGCTCTCTTTAAAACAAATGGCAACAGTAAGGACTTCAAGTAGCATATTGTTAAATTAAGCAGGACTAAAAAAGGCCATTCCTGGCCATTCTGACTCTGCGCTATGCACGATGGTGACTTGCTACAATATACAGTAATGTGAAAAATGAAGTACACCCCCATGGAAATTGTTGACTAACCTATTTCAACAGGCAAACATCAGATCTTCATTCAAATGCGGTCTATAGAGAATGGTGATATACCTGACCAAATAATGCAAAAAAAATGCCTTGGAGTATTCATTCTCATAGTCTAAATCAGTGGTCTCCAAACTGCGGCCTGGGGGCCAGATTCGGCCCTTTGCTTGCTTTTATTCAGCCCTTGAGGTATTATTCCTCTCACTGCAAGCAACAGTGTGGCATAGTTTCTCCCACTGACATCAACAATGTGGCTCCATTCCTCCTATTGATAACAATGAATGGGCACTAATTCCCCCATTGATACTAACGACGGGGCACTATTTCTGCCATTGATACTAACGACGGGGCACTATTTCTCCCATTGATACTAACGACGGGGCACTATTTCTCCCATTGATACTAACGACGGGGCACTATTTCTCCCATTGATACTAACGACGGGGCACTATTTCTCCCATTGATACTAACGACGGGGCACTATTTCTCCCATTGATACTAATGATGGGGCACCATTTCTCCCATTGATACCAACTGATAGGCACTATTTCTCCCATTGAAACCAGTGATATGATAGGGCACTATTACCCCATTGAAACCAGTGATGGGGCACTATTACCCCATTGAAACCAGTGATGGGGCACTATTACCCCATTGAAACCAGTGATGGGGCGCTATTACCCCATTGAAACCAGTGATGGGGCGCTATTACCCCATTGAAAACAGTGATGGGGCACTATTACCCCATTGAAACCAGTGATGGGGCACTATTACCCCATTGAAACCAGTGATGTGGCACTATTACCCCATTGAAACCAGTGATGGGGCACTATTACCCCATTGAAACCAGTGATGGGGCACTATTACCCCATTGAAACCAGTGATGGGGCACTATTACCCCATTGAAACCAGTGATGGGGCACCATTACTCCACTGAAACCAGTGATGAGGCACTATTACCCCATTGAAACCTGTGATGGGGCACTATTCCTTTAATTGATACTAATGATGGGGCATTTTTCCTCCCCCTAATACCAATGATGGGGCATGGTTTACGCTCACTGACACCAGAATATTTTCTTCTCCCACTGGTCACAGTCTGGCCCCCTTAAAAGTTGAAGGGCAGTAAACCGGCCCTTTGTTTAGAAAGTTTGGAGACCCCTGGTTTAAATTAACACAAATGCAGATTTGTCATATGGGAAAATTAAGTATACTCCTACTTCAATGTAATTAGAATCCTGTGTTTCATATTAGGAACCAATGATTAGAACCTCTTTAGGGAGTATGCAGGTGCAATCCGTCTTTATGTTAACCTCAGATATCCAAGGTCTAATGTTTTCATTAATGTTTTTTCATAGCGTGGTGCTATCATGACAACAACTTTCTTAGGCCTTCAAAGGAGACAGTGTATGCCTAAGGCTTTGCAGGCATTTGAATTTTGTTTCAGCCTATAAATGACCCTCTATTTTAGCCTGTGTGTCCATGCACACATACCGTATGTGTTTACAGCCATATTAGAAAAGGAGAGCTTAGAGGCCA